ATGACGCTCCCTGAAGACACACACAGGCGCGCGCACAAGCCCCTTAAGCTCGGCGCAGCTCTCGAAAGCCATTCGTCCAAGTCGCCTTTTTTCACGACACTCGGCCGTATAACGCAGAATTTATATAACAAGTTTGTCAACCGGCCTCGGCTTTTACTTATGCTGTATAATGCACGTCGTTTCTTTGTGATGTTCGAGTTTTTTCAATTTCCGCGCGACATGGCTCACGGGGATCGATCCTCGCCATCTGCGCACTTGCCGTATATACATTTTCAACGATTCGAGATAGCCATTAATTTAAGCGCGACGCGGGATTATAGGCAGTTGTCTTCGATGTCTTGTTAAGTCATTTGCGCGAGTAATAATCATCTCATTTGTCAAAATGTTATTTCAGCTCGCCACGGAGGGTATAGTACAAGCGGTATCGCCATACATCGATTGAAAAATGCTGGAATCTAATTCCGATTCAATGTTAATCCTTTTGCTCAACGTTCAATTGCGCTCGATCGTCGTCTCGTGTACCGCGGCCGATTCGAATCGAGGATGGAGGGGGACTCCTCAAGCGCATATAAATACTTGGCTACAATACTTCAAACTGTCTCGTAAAATGCAAAAATAAGTGCGGACTAATTTGTAAGCGCACTCAGTGACGTCGTCGCTCGCATGCAAAACCCTTGCACTCGCTTACTCGATGCGTGTACGTAATAAATTAATTGAATCAACCGACCAATCAGTCAATCAATTTAACATAAATCTTTTCGTGTATATAATTCACCGCGTCTTTTTTTAGTGGGATCTGTACATGTAGGATATAAAACGTAATTTCATATTTCTTCAATTTCCGCTAATTAATTACAACGTGAAAATTGTACGAATATTTTAATCTTTTCCCTCCTCAACATTTAAATGTGAACAGTAGTGAAATAGTAAAATTCATGCTACTGTTTAAAAATCCTTTAATTTAAGTAAATTTAACTTTAAAGTTGTATGAAAATTCAATCATAATTAAAATCAGAATCCACCACTAGGTGGCGAAAACCTTCATCCGTAAAAATCTGCAAGTGGCAAAGTGTAAATAGTTGTATAAGTAGCACGATTTAAAATATATTTGCAGTTGATTCGGCATAATCGTCACTGGAGCAGCATCGCAAAGACCATATTAATGTAATGAAATCGCAAAGCGTATTAAAGAGCGCGTGTTACGTTTATCGGGATGCGCACCAATGTTTACTCGCGCGCGCGTTCAACATTAAAACGTCAAAGTGTAACTGTGGCCAGCGAAAAACAAACATAGTTATTACGAGGAGAAGAGGCTGCTTCTGTAGGTTAGCATCTATGCGGAGCAAAGTGATTACAGAGCTGGAAAAGGAAGGTGCGCCTATGGGCTGCGGCGATATCGGCTCGTCAGTTGTGCAGTCAGTGCGCGCGGGTAATACGATACGCGTGTTTTTGCGCCTTGGGATCGTGGAGCTCGCTGTAGATACACACACACGTACACGCACACGCACCTATACGTATCGCGGCTGATGTTCAGCAGCAGCGATTCGCAACGTGTCTCGGTCGGTCGCGGCTATTGGGTTACGAAAAAAGTCCAGATGTAACTCTGCTACCGATCGTATAATATAATACCGATCGATCGTACGTGTGCCTCGGCTCGATCCTTACTTCTTTGTACATATAGCAGGAGTCTGGTGTGCCGCAGCGTCGCTTAAGATCGGCAGCTCGTCTGCAGTACATGTGATATTGCAGCCAATTGTAAAGATGAGCCGTGACGCAAATGAATGACTAGTCCAGTCGTATTTACCACAATCGTACTATCATCTTCTAGGTTCTATAATGATATTCCGTATTAAACATCGAATATCCCTGATAGATATGCTCAACATTTTAAGACTAGTTTGTTGCCAACGAACGAGTTAGTTGGACATGACCATTAGAGCCGGACATATATCGACCTCAAGTAGAAGAAGAGAATAGTATAGAGCTATAACTCAATATTATGATATGTACTATACTGTATTACCGAAAATAAAATAGAGGGAGTCGAATGGGAGTGAGTATCTGTACATACTGCGCAGCAGCGAACACATGTACATGACGAGGCAAAGTAGAGAGCCGGTGGGTGCTAGTGTACCAATAAATGTTTAAACAATAATTGTGAATTGTTTATTTATTCAACCCCAATAGTCCCGCAGGGCGCTACATGATATGCTTTGTATTTTCCAATCCTATGCTTTTTATTATAAATTTGTTTTGACTAATTGAAAAAAGGAAGTTAATCAATGGCCATTGTAATAAAAAAAAAAAATTTTAATGGTAATTTTTAATTTCGAACACTTCTGCCAGGGATATAATATATTAACTGATGTATTACCCTTCACGCATAATCGTTAAATTGCATTGTTCATCTCGCAATGATTCTATAAAATTTAAACACCTCGTTCGATTCAATTCAACGTTTCAATTCAGTTCAAAGTCTCTGCTTCGTGATTTTGTATGTATAATATAAAAGGGTCAAATAGTCACTTACCATTGCAGGTTGGCAAGGCATTTGCATCTTTGCTCTTGTAATGAGCTTATAATTGGCCCCGAAGCACAGACTATCAATTTAGCGATGAATTAATTTACGATGCGCAAATGGAAATGTTGGCTAGCTCGAGATGTGTCCGGCTGTTAAGTCCGACGAATACGTATATCGTACGTAGGATAGTAAATGAAAAATTGCTGCAGCGCACTTGATGAGTTTTGAGTAAATGAGCTTGTATACATACATAATAATACGTGAGTTAGGCGTTGGAGATCGTCTATAATGTATATGGTATATTGCAGTCTCGGTCATAACTCTTCGAGGTACAAGGAGCGAAACGGACGGACAAACAAACAATGGCAATTGCGAAAACGCCTGCTGCATTTATATATATTGCATCGGGACTCGATAAGCTACACACACGGACATATATGCGAGTCGGCCTAGACCATGTGCAATGCAGTATTAGTACTAGAAGATAGGCGAGCATTGATAGAGCGCGCGAACGCACGCACGCACTCGGTCGGGACTCGGGCGCAGTACGCACGCGATCGCCGCAACAACTACAAGTACCTATATACAGTATAAGCTACATACACAGAGCGGAGCTCGCGCGCGGTCCTTTATCATGCGCGCGACTGACCGAATACACGATACGTATGTGTTAAGGGTGTACTTGTTCCTGCGCTCGACTTCCTTATAAACAAGACGCGCGAGTTGCGGCGCGTGTGCGTACTGCGCTGCACTAGCCCAGCACAGGCTGCTGCTGCTGCTGATGATGATGATGATGATGCAGCGCAGGAGAGCCGGGCCCCGCGTGCCGCAGAATACATTTTACGCTCGATACTCCCGCTAATCTGACTTCTCGCGGCTAATTGTTTCCTCGAACGCTTATTCGACTTCTTGTTTCTTTCTCGCTCTCTTCTCTCTCTTCTAGAGGCGTATTTATGTTGCGTGAATACTCACCCGCTGCAACTACGCACGCGGCAACAAATGTTTTCTACCATACGGTACAAGCACATCTCGCACCGAGTCGCACGACAACGAGGCTTTTTTTTCGTCGTTGCCTCGAAACAATCCAATTGTCGCGCCCCGGCATGTGCTACGACCACGGCGACTCGGCTTTTATTCACTTTTCCCGTCGGCAACAGAATGCATCGCAATTATATTCCTAGCTGCCGATGCTTTCCCTCTCGAATTTCGTACCTGCTTACGATGCAACATTGTATATAGGCGTATGAACGTTATTTTTAAGTACTTTTTTAAATGCCTCGTATTCTCGTACGGTGAAGGCAATTAAAATCTTTGCTGTTCTCTTGACCACGCAAAATTGGTATTCATGCCAGGATTTTTCCACCATTCAGCATAGCTCATTTATATTTCTTTGGGTTTATACCGTGTGTGGGTTCGTGCTAGAGGTGAGCTCGAGAGAACTACATCTTCCTGGTCACGTAATCTTGTCCGGTTCACGCGCTATAAAACAGAGTAGCATCTGATCTAATATCTTTATTTCCAAGTAGCACGCAATGAGCGAAATATACCCCTGTTACATTGCCTCCACAGCTTGCTTACAAGAAAACAGAGGAATTAATCATAATTAACTAATTGGCGTGGCTGTCATTTGGCCAAGTTGAACATCATCGGTTTGAAAAATTGATTTTATTTCTTATAATATTGTAAACCAAAAATTCGAGATGCACATATCATACCAATTTGAAATAATATACTTTAATAATTAATACAAAATTGTGTCTGCTACTGAACCAATTTAACACCTTTTCTAATGATTTTTCAATGCTTTTCTTTGTATGTTAGATTTCTTAGTTCGAAATTCACTAGCGTCAATGTCCACATACAATACAATTTTAGCGTGTCATTCGAGCATAGTCGGGTTTTTCCTTTACCAGCCTGAGCGCACCTATTGTTTCCTTATTGATGCTGCATATAAGCTGCATATGCAGTAAGAATATTACCAAGCTAAAATGTGCAAAATATATTCCCGAATGATTTATACCGATATGGACGTAGGCGTTAAAAACTGGCATAAATCCTCATATGAAAAAAAATGACGAGCTAAATAGCGTGAACAGTTTTACAAAATTCTGATAGATTAACGATTGTAAGTCGTTAGATCGATTCGATTCTTATTTGAAACGTAAGCAAGTAGCAATACAAAGCTTTTCAATTTAGAGCGTCCGAAGCACCCTGAAAAGTGTTGTATTGTAAAACTAACTTTAATTTCAGGACTTCAATTGATTACGCTTAAAATGAATACATAATAATTTTTCTTGATAAATAGTTTTTAGCACTGTAAGTTAGTGAGTCTACATTTATGAAACATTATCCATAAGGTTATTGAATTAATTTTTCTCCAAAAATGTATTTTTCAAATTGGAAGGTTATTCGTAGATAGCGAAATAATATAAAAATCAAAGAAACTCGTGATATCATGATAAAAAACATTTTTAGATTACTTTTCCGAACGCATACATTAGATTGTACATCGTCATTATTGTCACAATTGAAAATAAAATTATACGTATGTTAAAGCATAATGCAAGAACGATGCATGACGTATCGATTTTAAGATATCCTTTTTGTTTGAATTATTTAGCATCACATGTATCAACATGTATCCTTAAGAATTACCAATATGCGACGATCTAACGTGCTTATCGAGGCTGGATCGATATAAAAATATCTTACCACACACATTGCATGTATGTGATACCACGATGTACAGAATCAACTAGATCTATCTGAAAATATCCTTCAGCATGTGTTGCGTGTGTAAGTAGTACCATTATGGACTTTGACTTGCCGTCTGAGGTTAGATAGGTCTCTAAATATCTTTCCGCAAAAATCGCATGTATGTTTGATGCCCTTGTGCATCAAATCGATGTGAAGTTTCAAAGAATTCTTGCTTTTGAAGTTATTTCCACATGCATCACATGTATACCTGACGCCCTTGTGAATCACATCGATGTGAATTTTCAGATAATCCTTGCCTGTGAATTTCTTGCCGCATGTATCACATTTATGTTTGATGTCCTCGTGTACCGCATTGATATGAGTTCGAAGATTAGACTTTTGGATTAATGACTTCCCGCACAAATCACATACATGTGGTGTCATACCTTTATGAACCATATCAATGTGAATTTTCAGATAATTCTTGCTTGTGAATTTCTTGCCGCATGTATCACATTTATGTTTGATGTCCTTGTGTACCGCATTGACATGAGTTCGAAGATTAATTTTTTGAATGACTTTCCGCATATATCACACACATGGGTGATTTTATAATGTATAGAATCCATATGGACTTTGAGAGTATGTTTGTATGAATATATCACATGTATGCGAGGTACCATTACAGTCATTTTCGGGAAGCGCACGAGCCTTTGATAAAGGTAAATTTACATGAAAATTTTTGTCGAAAATATGTTATTATACACGAGATGTAAAATAATTATCAACCTCACTGAATTTTCTCGAAGAAATCCTGGAAAGTGAATATTTTGGTTAACGTGTATCTTGTCTATTACGTCATAATTATTTTCCACGAGCGATACATCTTTGAGTTCATCTTTTACCCTGAAATAAAACCAATAAGATTGAGTAAATCTATATAAGCTGTATCACATTTAGATATCTAAAAAAAAGATTTTTTACTTGACGTCAAAGTTAAATAAATCACTGGAATCCATCTTCATTCCTTGAAATTCGGTGAACGATTAATCTTTCTATGATTCAAACTAACTAACCTGAGTTCAATTTGATAATATTTACAAACCAGAATACGATGTAAACACAGGAAAAGCTAGCTATTATTTAATATAGATAGATATATAACAGAATATTGATCGTTTATTTAATGAACAATGAATTTATTTCTATAAATAATATTTCATTACGAAGAAGAAAGACATTAAAACAATAATTTAGCGATATACGATCAAACATATAATTTAAATCAGATAATACTAAGTGGAATTAAACGTTCAAATATGTCTCGTATGATTCTGCCATATTGATCGATAAACAATTATCGCGATTTACCAATTTTCTCACTCGGCACAGCTTTCCAGGGTAAAGAAAGGGAAGAAGGAAACTTGAACGAATAAAAGCACATTCGTTAAAACGAATCGGAATCGCGCTTCGAAGATGGCGCGCACAAGGCAGTCGGAGAAACGTCTTATGTGCAACTAAGCGCTGGTTTTCCGACTGACAACAATGTAGCAAAAAAGTCGCGGATAATCTCGAAGAATGTTGTACTCGAACCTTGGGCGTTCTCGCGCGCACCAGCCACGGTGCAGCAGCGGCGAGCGCGAGACTCGAACATAATCAGTAAAAGGAGATTCTCGCACAGACGCAGTACTTTGCCGCGCGCGCGCACTGTAAAGCGTATAGTGCACGAAAAGGAAGAAAGAACGAACGGAATAAAAGGAATCAAAAAAGCTCCGAAGAGCAACACACACACATATAATACGGGAGCGAGCGAGGGTAAAAGAAGCAGCAGCGGCCGCGGTGGCGGCCAGAAGGCAGAGAAGAGGCAGCAGCTCCTAGCGAAGGGGGAAAATAAAGAACACGAGACGAGCTGTGCGCGCGCGAGGATGGAGCGCATAACACACATGCCCACATGGAGCACACAAGCGAGAGCCGGGGGTACCATAAAGCACGGCATCGACGCGCAGCTCGCAAATAAATCCGCACTAGTCGCGAGCAGTAGCAAGCGAGAAAGATCGGAGAAAGAACAATTACCGTATACGTATATAACAGAGAAAAGAGAGAGAGAGAGAGAGAGAGAGAGAAGCGAGACGAAGGCGACGCGCTTTCGGAATTCGAAATAAGAGACAAAGCGCGCACGAGAGGCTTTATAGCATGTCGCGCGCGGAAGCGACTGATCACGCATACCAAGTACTGCCGCGCGGCGCGATGACATGCCCTCAGCGAGAATGCCGACGACTACCGCAGCAGTACCTGTACTACGTATAAGCCCTCTGTGTAACAACGACGCACACAAAGTGGCCTGCGGTAGTTCTAGTTTGTGCACCGGCTGACTTTTCATCGATGTGGCTCTCATTTGGGCCGCACGCTGTACTGCACTTGTGCGCGCAACTAGTGCATGCGATCCCTGCTAGCACAGTATGCGACAGCCAGTGCGCACGACTCTATATAATGTAACTGCTCGACTCAACCACTTCCTTCACCTACATCCAGCCGCGTGTGATGCACGACTTTACGCGGATTAAGCTGCTTTGATTAATGGTTCCAATCTGCATAATATACACACAACGCAACGATCTGCAAAACTACTCAAGTATCTTAATCTCTATTTTTTCTGCTCCATATTATTATTTTTTATCGCTCGTACGTATTGGCTTTTATAACGTGGCGCCATACCGATCTATGCCCGCGGTTATCGAGCCAAACCTTTTTTTTATACCGATTTAATTTATTCGCGTCCGAAAGTCGAGCGAGTATCCAAGCTTGGATCTAGAGGCTGCTGCGATTCGCAGATATCTGGGAGTGCTCTAATCCGCTCAACGCGATGAATGACTCGGGTGTGCGCTTTAGCAGCTTTTTCAGCTTTAATGCCAAACTCGCTCCAGTATTTACCGTACATTTTTCGACTCGTCATATATTTTACGCAGCTGTACCGTATGACCTTCTACACCTTTCGAGAAATATAATAGGCGATCGTCGCAATGAATCCTACTTATCACTGAATAAACTTGCGATCGCATGCCTGCCTCCAATGATTAGCGTCGAGCAAAAGGTCTCAATAAAGTTTCGCGTATGCTGCGAGTTTTCCTTCGCGCATTAAATACTTTTAGATAAAATCAAGCTTGAAAAGTTTTACGTGATACTCGAGAAAATAAATAAAGAATCTAATTGAAAGGTCGAGCTATGTACACCGTGTTCAACCTTCATGGCCGCTTGTGCACTGTGTGTGTGTACAGAAAAAAGGCATGTACAACACTGCTAACCGGATACAACGCGAGCCTCGGCACATATTGTCCTTAAAACTTGAAAGTATTTTGCAGTAAATTTTATTTAACTATGCTAACTCTTCGTGTAATTTATTTTCGAGTTTACAACAAAAATATATTAAAATTAAATGGGAATGATAAGATCGATAGAGAAGAATATATTTCGTTTTTAAATATTGTAATTTTGCAGGACTTGAAATTTATACACTAATATTATTTTCTTCGCTTAAGTAATTATTAGTATAAAAAGTAGAGAGACTTTCTGCAGAGTAAGCAACAAAGGTACATGACTTGACAGTACTAAAATTGAATAACTTTCACTCGGGTCAAAGGTACTGAAAAATTATCTACTGGTCAACTACTTTTTTTTATTGTGTGCATCCTGTGTACGACTTGTTGCGGCTCGAATACGTAGACTCGGAAAAAGTCGTTTTCAAGGCTGCTTTTCAAGCCTTCAACTCTAGACGCGATAACGATCTTCCAATGACGTAGCATTTCAATGGGAAAATTGATTCAAGTATACATTATAACGCAGTGTCACAGACATGACTTTTGATGCATCGGTGAGATAGGTGTCATGCTCGGCATAATACACGTGTTGTATCCTTTCAAGTTTGCTCGTAATTTACCAGAATAATGCGGAGTATTTTTCACTATTTTGAAACATTAATTTTCAATTTTTCAAATGAGCTCTGTTTATATCGAAGTTACTTTAAAGCTCGTTCTATGAACCAAAAGTAATTTGTTGCTTTTGTGCGGCAGTGAATGTCACGTTAAATTCGCCATTTCATGCAATATTCATTTTAATGAGATGCCTTTGAATATTCTTAAAATCGTATAAACTTGCATTGTAAGTCATTAAAAAATAAAAATTGCTATATCAGTGGCATAGCTAGCTAGTATCCGTAAAACAGTTTTTTCCTTTCGTTGGAGTGCAACAAGGACTAGCAGTCATATTCTTCTGAAATATATGAGTTAAAATTAAAAACCTAACTCGTAAGCTTTAGGCTTAAAATTGATTATGCGATCTATTGGTAACATTTGAAGCTCGTCTCCGATGCTGGTATTCAAAGATAGCTGAGTTTTATCTATAAATCTAATAACTTTTTTTAGAGCATACTTAATCGATTCTGTTTAAAAATCATTCACGTAATAAATAGTTATTTTAAAATTACCTGAAATGATTTTCTACTCAAAATAAGGAAAAAACTAGTTGCACTAAATTTTCTCTAACTTGCTAAAAATGCTATGAAGATGAAATGAAAGGTTTCGTGCCAAGTCGGCTCAAAATTATCAGTTTTGTAAAGCCTGAACATATTTTGGTCGTATGGGCATATATTCAAAGACATGAAAAACTTGCACTCAACGTATCTGATAAAAGCGCGTCAAAGTTTGGCGAGTTCGATCTCCGGACAGTCGCACACGCGATGCGAAACTATTTGCACCTGATACACCGCGCGGCCACCTCGCATATATGTATATCATACCGGGCAAGGCTGTAGCTGCAATCACAATTGGTGCAGAGAACGAGGCATCGGCCGATACAACCGTTACGGGTCTGCCACAGCCGCCGCGCTCGTACCTTTTCTTTCTTTTTCTTCTTCTGCATCATCTTCATGTCGGCTGCGGCGGTGGTGGTGCGGCGGCGTATGATGCAACCTGTCCCTGCCATACACAGGAGACTCGCGCGCGCGCGCCCGAGCGAGCCTTCGCCTCCAGTGCATCGATTAGAGAGAAACCTTGGGTACTGTTATATGCATGTGCGGCGCGTAGCATATAGATATATATGTACGGAGAACATCGACGATCCGGCGAGCTACTGCTGCTGCTGCAACCTTAACTTTTGCTCCAGTGGAAATGCGGCTGTGCTGCACAGATATCGTTTCGCCAAAGCGCAAAGACCTGCCTCGTCGCCGCGTACAGTTAGCCAAGATGCTGATAACTCATTTTGCAAATATGCTCGCGCGCTAAGCGCGTCATCGTAATATCGACTCCGTGTAATGTGCAGCAATTGTAATTGTATATTGGAAAAGTCGATCGTGTTCGGTGCGTTCGATCTCTCGAGTACACGCACCGGATATATTCTCGCTAGCTCGAGCGAGCTTCGAACGTAATGTAAGTACTCTCAAATGGACGAAAAGCTCGCGTTTTGCCTTAACGCCGGCACGGCATAATATATCGTCGTCGATCGTCGTTTTTCTGCACTTGTTTCAATCACATGTATTTGGTGATTGCATATTTGTCGAAGAATCGCCGAGGACTTCCGTACTGTAATAACGTGTTATTAGTCGAGCGTCGTACCTATACCGTTACGCGGGCGCACAGCATAATATATAGAGTTACCAAGGAAAATCTGATACACACAATGCGCGTTATGTGCGCTTAAACAGCGGCGCGTGCGTCTGTTACAGTCGCGGTGTAGGTGCCACTTGTACTTACACTCGGCATCCTGATGGCAATTTTTTTCGCAACTCTTTTTTATTTATTAAGCTCTACTTTTATTGGGCTTGCACTTTTAACTGCAGCTTCTTGTAATAAGAGTCTCGTGTTTAGCAGGCGAGCTTTGTTGCGTTTAACTATACGATATTGATACGGTATTTTGTTTTGAAATACGTGCCAACATAATCCATGGAAAAAATATTCATTTGACCGAAAAATGACCATTTCAAATGTTTCTAAATACGCGAGCATTAATGGAATTATTTTTGGCAATTTTCTGTAACAATCATGTTACAAATATTAATCGCATTTAATAAATTCGATTATGACAATTAGAACCTTTGTCGCTAGATGGTGAATACCTTTATCTGTAAATCTGCAAGTAACAAAGTAAAAATAATTGTATAAGTCAAATAAGATCAAAAGCTGTTCCTTAAAAGAATCTATTGCATGATGGTCTTTATATATGAATAAAACGTTGTTTTGTTGGCCAAAAACTAGCCGCAAGCCGTTTAGTATTTCCACCAGGGACGATACGTAATCTTTGAGAAAAATTTAGATCGCGAGTCCTGAGTTTTCGTTGCTCGCGCGTAACGTGCTTAGATTTACACGTGCGCCAAGCATAGGTCTGTGACCCTTTGCTCACTCGACTTCTAAGAGTCATACAGTACCGCAGCAGCAACAGCAACAGCAGCGGCAGCCGCGAGCACATGTACTAGCTTTATGTGTGCATAAGTATAGCGCGCGCATAAACCAACAGCTCATGCAAATGCTCCACGCGCGCGCGCGCGAGTAGTTTGAACTTGCTAATGGAGCCCATTCCTCGAATGCGCAGCGCGCGTATTATATCATTATTTGCATGCGCTTCTGGTCATAAACGCTCGCGCGCACGAATTGAAGTTGCAGCGCCGAGGCGTTTAGCTGGATGCTTTTACGTACCTTATGTATACCGTGCGCCGTGTATTATATGCGTGTAAGTACGCGATCTGTATTTGTGCAGTTAAGCTATGTGTAATACGCGAGAAACTAACGCCACGCGTGATCGAATTACTATATCTCGCGAGTACGATGTGAAACAACGGCACTATGTCCCAAGGACGTCTGATCCTTACGTGCACTATATCTCCGTTTCGATCGACAGCTTTCAATGTATATTTTACGATTGGTTTTCAATTGTTTATCTCTGCTTAAATTCTGTCAGTTTAGGTCTATGTTTTTACAAATTCTAAAAGGATTGGAGGGTTATCGTCGACCATCGAAAGCAAACATAAAAAGAAATAATAGTCGTGTAAGCGCGTACGTGTGTTAAAAAAGCCAGACTGCTTAGAATATGTTGCATTATATTTCAGGCTTGTAGTACGTGTACAACACACTGAGAACTCGCTATATACGTATAATACGAGAAGCTGTTGCACTTTGCAATAACTACAATTTGCATGTAATTCTCCACTAGGCCTGTGCGAATGCGTGCGCCTGGATTTTCGCGATGCGGGTAAAATTGTGTGTGCAGTCACAGTCTCGTTCTCATACGGTGTAGTTTACTGTAAAACCCGTTAATATTGTGTGCGTACTCGAGTGTGTGTGTGTGGGACACGTGTGTGGTTAGAAAAGCATCTCTCTCTTTCCGATATTATAAACATCTGTAACGTGCACTTATGATGTAATGCGTATCGAATAGCCGTTAAATTACTCAATTTTATTGTTTTACCCCGAACGGCTGGCATATTAAAAAAAGTGCGCGCAAGTATCTACGCGCGGAGCATCATCATCGCATGCCGCATTATCCGCAAAAGCGCCGGTAAGTGGATAACCGTTTCTCTTCGGCAGAGAGAGAGAGAAAAACACAATGCAAGCCCAGTTGCGCTACGTGCCTCATTCCAATACATATTATTATGTAGTAAAAGAGAAGACTGCACATTGACTGTACGTGTAGCGTGTATATCTTCCCGATATAACTGCAGCGTCACACGCTAATTTTTTAAAACCAACCTTGCCGAGCACTAAATCAATCTGCGATGCCGAGCGGGTCTCGATTGCGCGCCACCAATCAAATTATACTGTCATGCGAAAACAAAAAGAAAGAGACAATGCTTCTTCTATGTCTCGCAAGTGACGCCATACTTCCTCTTGGTCAGAAATTAAATTACATCTCGAATATTTTCAGAATTAGTATCTGAAAAAAATAAAATAACTCTCGGCGTAAATGACAAAAGTTTTGTTTCATTACATTAACCCATTTTTTGTGGTTGAAAAAATCTGTAAAAATTCCCTAATGGTACTTCTACATCCATGATTCTCAAAGTTGCTTTTTCGCACAAAATTTTACGTTTCTTTTTTGTTTAACCCACTATAACTTTTTAATGAAGCATCAAATCTTAAATTTGAGCCTTGATTCTGACAGGGTACACACGACTATGCCATATCTGAGTGTAATGAATCAATATCGTGTATGTGTTATACACTTATTTTCACTTTATTACTTTCGGGTTTACAGATTAAGGTACTCGCCATCTAGTGGTGGGTGCTGAATTTAATTTTGATTCAATTTTGATGTCCTTTTTGAGCAATGAAAACGTCAAATAAATAGTATGAGAGTAATTTTTCCATTAAAAGTAATTTATGTGATTTCATTTTCACGTTTTTTTTGTGCAATTTTATGTAATAAAATGAATCACAACAGCCACATTAGCTCATTTTCAACGTACTTTACATGTGAACATATCTTAGATAAAATTCATAATGGATCACATCAATTTTAATGCCTGAATTTACGTCTGCATTAAATTTAATGGGTTGTCAACAGTGCAGAAAAAAAATTTGGGCATCAAAACATTCGTTCGTGGTGTACAACTCGTGACTCAGTTTAAGCTTATTTCACCAGCTTCAACCATTTAATTAAAAAATTGCCTCTTACAAATCATGCAGCAAAAATTGTAGGTGAAATTCACAACTAGAAATTTAATAGATAAAAATTGTAATGCTACGAAAATATTGCAACATTTTCTAGCTCGCCAAGCTTTCATGCATAAATTAATTAAAATATAGATAAGAATATATAGAACTAAACGCAGTGAAGCGGTAAACGTGTGTGCTAACTTAATATCTCAGCTTGAACAAAGCTATTAATTATCGTCGCTGAAATGACAGGGTTAAAGTATGATTTGCTCGAGACAAGTAAATGGAATTATAAGTGCGGACACGAGAAAGAAATAAAGGAGGTATACAGAGGGGAATACGAAGAGAGCAAAAAACAAGCGCAGACGCTTGAAAAAACATCCGTTGGACGATCGAGGGATTGGCCGCGATTAAAGCACGACCACAGAGCAAAAAAAAAGGCAGGAAAAAAGGAAGAAGGAGAATATTATTAGGACTGCTGAACGGTGCGTTTACTCGCGTATAATGACCGAGGACGCGACGTGGACTGCACCACTGGAAAATAAATAATAAGGTCAGGGTGCTTCTCGAGCAGCTATACGCGCAGTACGTTATGTGCGGCTATCACGACATCCTGGGCAGGATGAAGGCGAGCGCGTGCGATGCGTGGGGCGCGAGCGCGAAGGAAGCAGCAGCAACAGCGAGGGAAACGCGAAAAAGTGGGGCTGGCCTTGGGTGGCAATGGGTTGTATAAGCGTCCGGACTCCTCGCAAGCACGAGCAAAACTGTTTATAAGCGAGCAGAGCAGCTCTATGGGTGCAGGTAACGCATCATGGGTGTAGGCAGCTATATAATACCGCGCGCGAGACTGGCGAGACGGACGGCAGTACACCCATACACGCTGCTCGAGGTGTGATTAACGTTGTTCGCGTTGGCAGACCCATCATTAGCCTGCCACGTCTGTGTATACGCGCGAGTCTCGCCGATCCATTTTTCGTAGCTGCAGCTCTAGCTCTCTCGTTTCTTCTTCTCTTCTTGGCTCGTGAGCTCGATGACTGGCCGTGTGCTACAAGAGCTGCGCTGCTCGCGTACGCGTATATATGCTGCTGCTGGCATTAAAAAGCTTCCAGCGAGTCTCCCTCGCCAAGGTCGTTCTCTGTCTTTCTGACGTTTTTCTGATCGCTTCGTTATAGCTTTCGCGCTGCAGCTCCGCAAATCTGCATGCACGTATCTTCGAGTACACGTATAGAGCCATTCTTCTGCATATCATCTCACGCTTGGTCTTGACTAAGCCGACCATCGCGATCTTGCTCTTAGCCTTTCCGCCTGGTTGATGATTTCATTATATATATATACTCTGGCGAGTATCAATGAGTGAATTCGATTAGCAGATTCGTGACTAAAGTTATTCGAATTAAGAAATTATGAGGTCAATTCTATAAAAAAAGGTGTTATAGCGATACGATTTTTTAAAAATTGTTAAATGCTTTGGCTCCTTTCGTTTTCCAATTGTGATTTCATTATTTTAAAATTATTGGAAAATTCGAAAGAAGCGTGGTCAGAATTAAAATATTTGAAATATATTCTTTCTGAAAAATTCCTTATAGGTCCTAGTACGCCTTTACAATTTTAGATCTGAAAATCTTCAGGAAAATTTGAATAAATTATTAACAATGGTACTGTTTTTCTCGCAGTCAAATTATTTTTATAAAAACAAATTCAAAAACAAAAAACAAAAATTATTGAACGATAACTTTATAAGGATACTAAATATTATTTCTTTATTTACAGTTCAGAGCAAGGTTCGGTGTTTTAAGAATACCATGGAAGTAGATATTGTCAGAACGACACCGGAGGCTTTGATATACCTTCAACAACTCAAGAATTATCCAGGTAATATATTTTAATATACTATTCTGAATGAGTTGAAAAATCGTCTGAATGTATATAATTTTTTAAAACATGCATCGATAATCAATTGTCATAGAATGAAAAATATAAATGCCAAAAAACTTTATAATATTTAATAATAAATCTGATATTGTTACAGATGAAGCTTGCAAGCCAAAACTCACTAACGGTATTGCGACCTTCTCACTGTCGCTACTTCCAGAAGATATAGCCCGTTGTGGTATTATGAGGATCACTAATAAGCTTACGGTGAGTATTTTTTATAAACCGTATTTCATTAATTATTTATATTCTATTTACAAAAAAAATTAAAAGAAAGACAAAAATCGTACGGAATTACAGAAAGAAAGGTATCTTACATAAATTTGCCTCAATGTATTACGGAAACATTTGAAAAATAGTGTACTTTCAAAATAAAGCAGTTTCGAATCATAAAATTAGAGATAAATCTTATTTGATAATAAATTAAAGAGATTCTTTGTACAATATTTGGATCACTTTTAAAAACACTCACTTCACATACATGCAATAGTTAAAAATAATATCATTACAGGGTCAAAAAGTATACTTCCATAAAGTAATAGTAGAAGAACCAAGCATCTCGAATAAGCACATGTTCACAGTGAAATGCAGCATAACAGAAGTTGCGGTTCACCAGCAACTACCAAATGTTTTTACTGAAACTAATAATCATACTCTACTAAGAAGAAGTGTTTTACCAGAGGATTTCGAAGCCGATGCGTAAGTAATTCTTGATCATAAATTTTAATGTATTTTATGGGGCATTTTTATTGAAGAAAAAAAGTTTAACTAATTTGTATTATCGTTTGGCGAAATTGTTTGTAGCTGCAATAACATATTGAAAACTTATTTTTTTGAAATACTAATATTAGTACTGAATTTTCATTGATGCTTTTGACAACAAGGCATAGCATGTTTCACAAACTTAAATTACATTTCTCGATAAAAAAAAATCAGTGATTGATCCATTGTTCGTCTTTAGTTTAGAACTATAAAAAAAATTCATCAAAAAAATCACTTGTCACTATATATCAAGCAACATTATATGAGAAAAAGAAAGAAAATATATTTTGATTTCAAAGAAATCGATAGTTCAAAGGAGGTCAAAATGGAACGAAAGATAAATGAAGACTATGACTACAAAAGTGTTCGATCAATCCCAGCGGGGGTCGCAAAACGCTAAGCTACAAGATCGCAACTGATCAAAGTGGCTTACCGCACAAAAAATGTACATGACTCTTTCTCTGCGCATGATACATGATCTGTTAGACCAGTCAGGTCAAAATCTTGATGCAGAGTCACATTAGAGCAAATTATAAATGATCTTTTATTATTACTTTAATATTGATTGAAGAGTCAAGCAATAGTTATGAATTTACCTCAAAAAACTTATAAGAAAAAAGATAGCCCCTATTGTATATATCATTCATGATTAAATTTTTTAAATGCTTGTGAAAAATATAATCGTGATATCTAATTTATATAAAATCAAAATTTATGAATTTATGAATTATATTAATAAGCAAAAACTTCTAGTGTTTTCTACTTTTTATTAAATGATAATGAAAAAATGATTTAAACGAAATGTTTGATTTTATTCCAGAAATACCCCAGTATTGGGTATGTTGGAGGGAAATGCTTCAGAACCAAAGTTGTTGTTCAATGTCCGACAGGGCAGCAAAATTATAAAAGATGAATTGGTCGTCAAGCCAGGCACGCCGTTGCAAATGGAAATATACTTGAGTGAAGAGGCAGCCAAGGTTTATGGACTGCTTGTCACTCACATGCAAGTTTCCGATACCAAAAATCAGGAAGAAACTATAATATATAATGGGTAACTTGGAAAATAAATTGAATTAATCCTTACAACAGTAATAGTATGATGATGTAACAATTTTCTTTTCTTTACAGATGTTCCGTTGATCCCTACCTGTTTGAAAATTTTGAGACAGTGAACGGACACTTCTTGTCCGCCAAGTTCCGAGCCTTCAAGTTTCCAGAGAGTAGCTACGTACAATTTCACGGTACTGTTACTGTTTGCGTTGGCAAATGTCGCGGGGTAAGTCGATTCTCATAGATTTTTCCATACTCAGGCATTTTTCGAAACAGAACAATAATCCTTGAGATATCATTTCAAAATATTTTTCTAAAATTTGTTAAGAAATTATTTGTGACAACCGTAAAAGATTTATTCCTTTTATTATTTCATATGTAGTCGAGATAACAATACATTTTTTCAATATTTCATTTTTTTATATCCGAAGACTAATTTATAAAAAAAACTTTCAGATTGAATGCAGCAACGGTAAAATTGGATACGGGAGAAAGAAACGATCAGTACAATCGTCGAAAAATGGTAAAAATGAAGTTTGGGAAATGGCCATGTCAGTCTTTTTAAGAGTCGATTACGACCACGATGTTCTCAGTGAAGAAGGTAACGATGCAAACGAAAATATTAATTATCTTTATTAAAAATTACAAGAAATCCAATAATAATATTTTTACATTTAAACTAGAAATTTCGAAATTCATCCGGCGAGGAAAAACACGCGAGAGAATGGTGAGGGCAGAAGACGTAGGAAAACATTTTGAGTATAACACTGACGGCCCAGTATCCAGCAGTTCCAAGATCGCACCGATTTTAAATTTTTTTCTAATTTTGTTATCGCTCTGTAGACTAGTGTAAATCTGAACTTAGTAAGCCTCTAGCGATGAAACGAGACATCTGGCAATTTACTAGACCTGATGCACAAATCAAATTATCAGCTTAAAGTGAATAAAAAAATAACAATAGCCATAAGGGCTAAGCTGCGTATAAAAATAATAAATGAACATTTTCATGTGATACTAAACTAAATCAAAAAAGTACCAGCAAACCAGAGAAGTCGTGTAACAGCTTATTAATGAACAACATAATGAAAGTGTAACACTCGGCGAATGAACGAAAAACTTGTGAACGTTGCATTCACTTGTTTTGTGTTAAAATACATGTATGTGAACTTAAAGTAAAACGTACAATTTAAGTTGCAGTGAGTGACGCGAGACTTTAACAATTTCAGCAATTAAAATGCCAAATTTAGATAATCGCTATAATCAAAGTCTCGCAATAAAGAAACAAATATGACAATGAATTTTTGTGAATAATTTTATAACTCGTTCTCTTTGCTGATACCAGCAGCCGTCACGTTGATCTCCATGCTAAAGTAACTGCTCTTGTAGAAACTACAGGGCAAAGATATCCAAGCGATAATTACGAGCAAGAAAAGACAGAGTCATCTACATTTATCCTAAAAATGTATATCTACCGAAGCAATTTTCATTTTATTATTGCTCGATTTCTATTGTATTATTATTTACTATTTTTTGAATTTAATTTTCCTCATGAGACGATTCTTGAAAATTAAATTAATTATTTTAAAAATTAATTTTTTCCACAAAGTAAGTGATTGGCATGTTATTAACTCTTTAAGAAGTAAGAGACATTGTACAGTTGAATTATTCAATGTAGTAGACTATGTGTAATATTTCAAGCAGAGATAACTAGCAGACCTAGTCGTAGGCCGACGTAAAATTTGATTAATAAGAATACTTTTACGTTATTTATGTAAAATAAATCCAACTCTACTAATACTTTTAACTTTATGATTTAATCAGTTTATTGTCTGTCAATTTAATGATAAACAATAAATATGATAAAATAAGTTGTTTTTAGGGTATAACTGAATAAAATTTTTCGTACATTATTTAAATGGTCTTATTTTTTTACATTTTATAAGGATTTTTACCATTATGATGATCTTTGTTTTATACTAGTGTATATAAAAATTCTTGCTATAAGATTATCGTTCAATCTTCGCTACATTCTGAACAGCCCAAATTTAGTTTCAGGAATAGGAGCATTCATGGCTGCTGACAAACTAAGTGCAATAACTTTTCGTGTATCTACTGGATCAATGACTCCATCATCCCATAAACTGCAAATAATAAAAAAATTTCACTATAGACTTTGATATACCTAAAATAAAACCCATAGAAAAATGAATTATAAATCAATATAGTACCGAGCACTAGCGTAATATGGACTGCTTTCTTCTTCAAACTGTTTTATTATAGGGGTTTTCAATTTATCCTCTTGTTCTTCAGTCCACTAAAAATAAGCAAATTGGAATTTTAGTATGAAATACAGACAACGTTAACATCAACTACTCACCTCTTTACCAGCTTTTTCATACTTTGTCTTGGTAATTTGAGCTAATACGCTTGCTGCCTGTTCACCGCCCATTACTGAAATTTTAGCGTTAGGCCACATGTACAAAAATCTTGGGGAATATGCCCTTCCACACATGCCTATTCCACGTACAGTAACAAATTTAGCAAGAATACTTTATTGAATGTTACAATTAATCAGATGACATATGTAATTTTACCATAATTTCCGGCCCCATAAGATCCACCAATGATGAAAGTTATTTTTGGAACTTTAGCGCAAGCGACAGCCGTAACCATTTTAGCTCCATTTTTGGCAATTCCACCAGCTTCTGCATCTTTGCCTACCATGAATCCTATTTACAAAGATTGAAAGTAATTTTAAAAGTATTTTTTCATATATCTTTTGAAGGTATGAATTAAAAAATTAACACCAAATCGACTTGAGTGAGAGCCAAATATTTTATACCCGTTATATTTTGAAGAAAAACCAAAGGTATTTTTCTCTGAGCACATAGTTGGACAAAATGTGCGCCCTTCAAGGCTGCTTCCGAAAAAAGTACGCCATTATTAGCTACAAAACCAACGGGATAACCGTGCACATGAGCGAAACCTGTAACGAGTGTTTCGCCGTAACGAGCTTTAAATTCGTGGAACATTGAACCGTCGACTATACGAGCAATTACCTCTCGTACATTGAATGGCTTTCTTAAATTCGATCCGACAATTCCGTAAATTTCATCAATTGCATGTGCTGGAGTTTCATAATCACTTTTTTTCTCGATATCAGAGATTCGTCGATGATTCAAGTTTGAAACGATATTGCGAGTCAGTTGCAGTGCATGTTCATCATCTAGCGCAAAGTGATCAGTAACACCAGATGTTCTAAAAAATTTCTAATTAATATTTGTATCTATCGTTAAATATTTCTTACTTTTTTTATTTTTAAACTTACTCGCAATGCAGAGCAGCACCGCCTAACTCTTCTGCTGTAACTTCTTCTCCAGTCGATGCTTTAACTAAGGGTGGTCCAGCCAAAAATATAGTTCCCTGTCCACGAATTATAATGTTTTCATCAGCCATGGCAGGTACGTATGCGCCTCCTGTTGAATTTAATTTCACATTTATCGTTGAACAATTTTTTAATCATAAGAGAAAAATTACTTGATGCGATAGTAGAAAGAAAGCATTTTATTACCATGAAAAATTTTTGTGCAAAAATAAATTACTCGAATGGATATATAATATTCTACTCAAAAAATTACTACCAAATTCTACTGTTCATATTTCAAATCAAGTTCTCAAGAGTACCTTAAATTTTTATGTGATGTTTTTATTGAACATTAGCTGCAAGATGTCCAAGAAACTGGTATTAGTGCCTTTTTTAGTACTCTTGAACGATACTCCAAAATTTTTAAATATAAATTTGAAACCCGAATAAGTTGAAATTGATCATTTTTTGGGCTATTTTTAATGTAGAGAAAAAAAACATAGCTATGTCCCCTCAACATGGAAACATTAATTTTATAGGAGTATGCGTATTAATTCAGCATCAACCATTTATTACAATGAAGCAGTACTAATGATTATTTTTCATAAATCGATCTGATAAAGTAACAAACCAGCTGTGCAACTGCCCATCACGACCGCAATTTGTGGAATTCCATCCGCACTCATAGTTGCCTGATTATAAAATGTTCTACCAAAGTGCCATTTATCCGGAAAAACATCGGCTTGTCTAGGCAAATTAGCACCACCACTATCAACTAAATAAATGCAAGGTAACTTATTTTCAGCTGCTATTTCTTGGGCTCGCAACTGCTTTTTCGCTGTGATTGGATAGTAAGTGCCACCTTTAACTGTCGCATCGTTAGCTATGATGAGACATTCTTTTCTATAAATATTTATTAAATACAATGTTAAAAATGCCTCAGATGTGTGATTTTTCTTATTTTTCAAACAATACCCTTCAATTCTTCCTATCCCAGTTATGATACCGGCCGCAGGAAGTTCTGCGTCATCGTACATTTTGTATCCTGCTAATTGAGAAAATTCCAAAAAAGGTGAACCTCTGTCAAGAAGACGATCGATTCTTTCTCTAGGCATCAGTTTTCCGGCTTTCACGTGTCTTTCTCTTGCTTTTTGATCACCTCCCTCTACAATTTTTCCCACGGTCATTTTGAGTTTATCTACGAGCGTTTTCATTTGGGTATATTTTTCCTGAATTAAAATGAAATAAAATAAAATAAGATCTCATCGCGCGGATTAGTTTTGGTGAGACGCATATCAAAAATATAAGATTTACTCAAATATATAATATTTTCTTATTATTAATTTATCATATGGCTTTTCGAAATCAAAAGTTAAGTTTGACGTTTGATATACCGATCTGTATTGCAAGCCAATAATTTTTTCAGTATTCGCTCATAATTATTACATGATTATTTTATAAAATTGAGTTTCGCGCTATTTCAAAGCAAAAAATTGTATATAATTCATTACGATTCATGCGTATTCTATTCACGCTTTTAATCTGAATAATGTTTACTAATGTCATGAGGTCGCAAACAGAAATACTGAAATTAAACACAGATAAAAAACACTTGGTGGCCGGTGACGTGTATTATATCATCATGTCAACAAAATATTTTTCAGAAAAGTCACGATGTAAAGTAATTTTTGGAAAGTATCGGATAATTTATAATAAAATAATTATAAACATTGAAGATTCTTCTACAACTAAAAATCGTAAATTAATCCTTGTTAAACTATGGTTTTCGAACAAAATATTTTAAATGAGTATTATTAAAAAAAATATGTGAAGTAAAAAATAATCAAGTTTAAACAATTTTTGTAGAGGTAAATTAATTGTTGTTGTCAATAAATTAATAATTTTAATGATAAGAAAATACTACATTCTTGCTAAAAGATATCACTTGGTTGAAAAATGATAACATCGTTTACTACTAACCTGATATTCTTGTGAATGTACATCTTGTTTTGTGCCAATAATACAAGATTCTTTAAAATAATGACGATTGATTGAATTAATATTTTTTATTACAAGTTTACTTTTTCTTAACATTTTTCACGATCTAGTAAAAAATTCGATTAAAAAAACTACGGTTTACGACGAATACTTGATTCGATGAATTTAAGAGTTAACTAAATTGATAGACTGCATACTTGCCTTTGAATTTTACGCCATCTGTGGATCATTACACGAAGATAAATATTTAAATTTAACGTAAACATATCGGTAGACAGCAATTTTTGAGATTGAAATCTTTTTTCTTTGAATTTGTGAAATAGTTTTAAAATTAAAAGTGAAGAGTATTCAATCGTTAATTTAATTAAAGCCTTTAAAAAGTGATTAATATTTTTTCATAAGATTGCGAAATATTCTATTAAACAATAACTAAATCTGCATGAGATATTGAGGACCAATAAATTAAAGAACATATTCTTAAATGGTATTGAAGCAACTTTATTTATATATTTATAATTATACTTTACGACTAACAGCCAAGGGCAATAATGATCATAGCAATTATCAACTATTTTCGTGATATTATTTAATAAATTTTAGTTAATTTTCAAACTGTGATCTTATAATAATATTTATATTTATATATATATTATATATTGATTCCAACACCCCTAATATTCAAACGTTCTCCAAAGAACTCTCAGTTTGTCGTTTATAGGCAAGATATTACATATTACATCATTATTTACATATTCTTGAGCAGCGCATGGTCATGAGTCACAATAAAACATCTTTATATTTTTATCTAAAAAAACGATAATTATCTAAAATAATTTTAGATTTTTAAGTTGATTTTTAACGATAATTTTCAAAGTCGTAAGCATGACAAGCTCAATCCTATACTTTATAGTCATGACATGAAGAAATAGGGCGTTCACTTTGGTATAATTGGATATAATATTTAATAATTTAATTCTAATTATAAATGAGTCAAAGACAGACTGTTCTTCCAATAATTGATAAATTATCAGCATATTTTGAAAGAAAGTGTAGATTTTTTATAAGTAATAATCCAGAGGGAAAAATTGGCATTCTTAAAAAATTAATCTAGGGTAATCCTTTTATAGTGTGATGTTTTCCCCCACTATTATTGAAATATAGATTTGAAATTTTAAAGATGATATTAGGTAGCTTTTTATTTGATTATTCGAAGCGAATAGTTTCATTCATTTAAACTATAACTGTACGAAACAAGATTATTTGTATTTTAAATTTTCAAGTTAGTTGCATTTTAAATGTTCATCTTCTATAGTGTAAAATACTATAAAGAATTAATTTTTTTCGAAATACAGTAAAAAAAGTTGTCTATCATAATCTCCACAAGTTCATACTAGAAGAATTTTTGATCTGTGACTGACATTTTACTTTAAAACAATGGACTTTTTTTAAATTTTATTTTATTCGCAAAAAACGACATCATTCCTCCACAACAGAATTATCATCGTAAATTTGCAAATTAAAAAGTTGAAGAATAAATGTTTACTTTGTTAAAAATTGGTATAGTTTTAATTTGGATCTTTTTATGATACTCATTCATAATTGATGTACGATTTTCGTAGATTTGATTTTGAATCAAATTTTCGTTTTATAGATTGCACCAGCTCGTAGTAGTAATTCTGTCTGTAGGCAGTAGCAAAATAAAAAGTCTTTCTACAATTACAGCAATTAAATTGACGTAAATTAAAGGTTCAAATACAATTTAATAAAGTATATATGGTAATGCACTTCATGAATTAATTGCTTATCAAAAGGAATCTTACCACCGAGAAAGATTCCTCTTGTGATCCGTAGATATTTTTTATTAATTCACAAAGATACGACTAAATAAATAATTGATGAAAAATTCATATGAACAAAACCATGTTAAAGTGTAATGTACAATAATCATACATTTGCTACAGTTATCAATATTATCAGTAAGTGTACGTATTGGTAGTTTTTATTGGTGACATGTATTGAGTTGCGCATAAGATGAAAGTAAAAATTCCAGTTAGAACTACTTAGCGCAGAATTAACTCAAATTTTTACAGATGTAAACTAGCTGAACCAACAAAAGCGGCGGGAGCTGATTGTGGTCCAGCTGGGGCTCCTCCAGGTACTGGAACACCAGGTGGTGGTCCTGCAGGAGGATACTGATAAAGTGGTGGAGGTTGAGCCACAGGAGCAGACTCTGGCATAAATTTAGCTGGAAATTGAATTCAATTATAATCATGAAGTGTTAATGTTATCTTGTTAGAACTTTTAAATAAATTATATGATTTTTGCTGAACATATTTTCGGTGTTTTTTTTCGAAAAATAATTCAATTATTTGATCATTCAACTAATTTATTTTATACTTTTGATCAATTAACAACACGGAATAATCTCAGAAATATATAACTGAGCTCACTGAGCGCGATTGTAATATCGCCTTTAAATAAAATTATAATGTACTTTATACTTGAAATTAGTATAGTTTTCCTCGTGGTAGTAAAAATATTTTTAACTTTTAGGCTTCGAGTGATTTTCAGCTTAAGAAGGCTTTTGTTACAAATTTACAATATGCAATGCATGCATTCCAAGAACCAAATTGTTTGATGGAATCTTGACCAATTTTTGCCGTGAAAAGATTAACAATTTTACGCTTGAAATCGGTGAAAAATGCATCCACGGATATGAAAATGAATATTTCATACCAGTGACCCGAAAGTAACTACTTTCCGGCCCGCTGCTCAAAGCAAGAGCTATTTTCGGGCCACGGGATATGAAAAATAGTATACAGGCCTAAGCCGCAAAAACAGAAAGCCTCAGGACATGTGTTTATTGGCCTCGGCTTCGCCTCGGTCGCTAATTACACGTACCCTGAGACTTTTATTTTTTTTGCGGCCTAGGCCTGTAATTTCTGTCGGGATTGATATTGAAATTCATAGAAAAATTTTCTTTGTATTGCTTATAATTAAAATTAAAGAGTATGCAGTTTTAGTTTTTTTTACCGTCAAGCTTACAATTTAATGATAGAACCGATTTTTTTGTGAATTCAGTTATATATAACAATATGACAATTATGTACAACTTATATTTTTACCTCGGATTATAGAATCTTGGGTTTCAAACTAAATCAGTTATGGATTGAAAATTATTCAGCATTTTAAATACTAATGTGTTATGTGTCTGTCATTAATTTTTATAGTGTTTGAGAATTCTGTAATTCTTTGACTTTTTGTCTGTTTGGAATCATTATAATCGTATCTGAGTAACATAAAAATTAAAGATAATAATAACGCAAGTTTTTAAAATTATACAAGGGTAAAAATTCGTTAAAAAAATTATACATGGATTCATTAAAATTTAGTTAAATCAATCATTCAAAAATATATCTTCGAAAATGCTCCTTCAAATGAAATTTTATTGTGATTAAGTATATATTAAGTATATATATAATTTATTTATTGAAGAATTTATATAAATTAAAGTTTCAACAAATGAAAAATGACGACTACTCAATGCTTCGACATTGCTCATTCTTAATTCATGTGAAATAATACGTGGATGCGCCGAGAATTCATCGGTTTTTTGCAGTGCAGACTTGATTATTTTAAAATCTTTACATTTTTAACTGATTTTTAAAATCACTTTCATTTTCGCAACAAAGTATTTATTCAAATATTCTTTGAATTTTACATAAGTTTCTCTGTAGTTTTAATGGATATAAATAAGGGTCATAATTTTAGTACTATTCTTGTGTGTACCCACATGAACGTGCGTTATTTAAATTATTTTAGTTCACGCGAAATGATACATATTCACAAATATATTTTTTGTCCATTATGATAGTTATGCATCATTCACAAATCACATCTATTGGAAATCTTTACCTGTAATATTTTTCTTATAACGATTTTTTCACTCAAACGAGGTTTCGATATTGTTTACTACTCGTCAATAAACTTGGAATGTTTATTTTCTTAATTACGATTATTATAAATTATTTCATATTTATACATATTAATACATTTATCCATGTATAACATTTTAAAATAATTAGTTTATCAACCGTAAACAACAATAAACTTGTGGTTCTTGATGTCTTAAAGCCCAAAAAATCAAACTTTTTTGTATGAAATATTATTTGTTGAATCTGTTTTCATTTTTATTCTTTATTTAAATGACTATTTGGAATTTATTGAACTTGAATGAATATTCAAATTTAATTCACAAATCATTTTCCACGTATCTTTTGTAGGTAATTGGCATACAAGCTACTTTCGAATTAAATAATAAAAATTAATTAATAAACATCAAAAAAATAATTATACAAATTAAATTAATTGAATCATGTCCACATCATGTCAAATATTATGGTTACATATTTACAACTGATTAATTTTTTACTGATGATATCATCCAATAAGCTTGTTTTCGAACTTTAAGTTATGGATAATTGTTTACTTAGTTATGAGCTAAATTAAAAAAAAATAGATTATTTAGTTCCTCTAAAACACGAAAAGTTTAGAAGGATTCTTCAGAATAAAATACTGTATTTCCCGTTGAAGAATGCAAAGAAGTTAGATTTAAACAGAGATTTTGGTACCGCCTTTGTTTTTTATTTTACTTTTTTCAAATAACAATAAGAAACAACGAAAAAACTTTAGATTTCGAATTCTTGAAAACTAGTAGAATTTTTTTAAGAAACTCGATGTTGAAATTTGGAATTTAAAAATTATTGTTTTCACACATTAAAATTTTCTTGATTAATACCATTGACAAATTAGTCTTCAAATTCTAGAAACAGTTTGTGTCACTCTTACCCATTTTATAATTAGCATGAAATAGTCTATACTTGCAATATAATACTTGCATTATTATACATCAATGACCGAAACGAAAATTAGTCTATTTCTAAAAGCCTTTAAAAATCTTAAAATCCTAATAAATGATTCACATTACATCTTCCTAAGAGTAGTATGCTGCTTTTTGCTAAAATGCGACATATTTTACCCTCTTTTTGATGACGTTAGAGAAAACTATTTCGTATGTACTCTAAAACTAACTGATTTTTAAAGATTTTCGAAATAGTCTGAATTTCGTCTCGGGCATACATATTATAGTTTATAAGTCAGATGGATACCGCAATTCATGAGTATGTTGCAAATTTGTTAATTTTAACAATTATTAGATTAGATATTATCGGGTAAAATGGACTCTTAAATAGCAATGGCAGTTTTGTTACATTCGTGAAAATAAATCCAACAATCAAACTTCAATTCAGTTTCTTCATTTTTCAAAAAAATTTAAGATGACATCACTAATCATGAATGCCATATATATCATTCTATTTTTTCATTAAATTTTTGTCTCTATTCGTGTAATCTTACTTGCTTTCAAAATCATTTTTGTTATAACACTCTTCGTTTACAAGTAAATATATTGTTTTGAAAAATTCCATTAACAAATTAACTATAGAAAAAGCATGGTAAATGTAAAATTTATTCATATTAATATTTCCTCTGCATCATTCAATAAGATATACTTAAATTTTTCATAATATTCATAAAAATGATAATTAGAGCAATTTTAGAGAAAAAAATTATTTCACCAATTCACCAATCACCAATCTATCATAATTCTGATTTAAAAAAAAAGATTTTAGTTAATTGTGCCCGAAAATTGTCTTAATACTTATTTTAATAATGTTCTTAAATATGGGCGCTTCCGTAAATATAAGTATGCAAAATGATATCTCCATCTTCTCTCTTCATCGTGAATTCAGTTTTCTCTCTTCCTCCGGTGGTACTTGCTGAAAGCAACCCATATCCAAAGACTTTAGTCGTTACAATCAATATTCACAATTTTCCTGATGGACGTCGATTTTGCGTAATATTTTACAATAAGTATTTTTAGTATATTGATGGTTTATTCAAAAGTAACATTTTAGTGCATAATCTTATTCATGCATTATAAATCTTTAGATCTATACTAAATATCTTTAAAATTATTCAAAATTTCAAGTCCATCAGTCAAAAATATAATCTTAAAACAAACCATGCATTAAAAATTTTTCAACAAATAACTACAATGACCAAACATAAATGATATCACAAAATTCATAAATGTTTAGTCAAAAAATTTGATTTACAAAATTGCTTAAGAAATTTTTGTTCACTCGCATTAAAAAACATTTTATTCGTCTTATTAGATGTGCATAACTCAAATTTTTATAAATTATAATCGAATCTTTTCGACTTTTACTTATTAATTTATTTTAACATTGATATAAAAAATTTTTATTTTTTCATAATTCTGCTGATTATGTTAAAAAAGACTATGTACAGATTTAATTGTAACTTATATGCAGGTATTGACTTTTGCTCGTAAACACCGTTTCTGAATATGCTCGAATTTAATAAAACACAATTTTGATTGTTATTTAAAATAGATATTCAATTATTCTAAACTCACTTTGCGAATTTGAAACATAAAGCCCCTCAAAAATGTGATCATTTATAATTTTATTTTATTCAAACATTCTTATGAAACTATTGACAAATCAATTTTTCATACAATTAAAAAAAGTTGCTTTTTATAAGAAAAAGATCCCATATAAAAGTTGTATCCAGTATAAATATGGGTTTTTAATTATTAATTGTTCATATAATAAGAAAATAATATCCCATCATGAACGATGTAATTAAAAAATCGTTTTTCTGAAAACTCAACATTTTATGAGCTTTTTATTATAAACAAAAAAAATTATGATAAGCACGTTCATACTGTAGCATGTACCGCAAATGGAAAATGCAATTGTAAAGTACATCAGTACAGTGAGTAAAATTTATATTCTAAAAAATTTTATATTATTGATGTAAAATTACATGACAATATTATCGATAAAATTTATTAATAGTTGTGCATAATTATCATTAGCTTTGTTGCATAAAATGTGTTTACTAACACTATGAGCTCGTAGTTTTAGAAATATATTTTTGTAAATTATAAAAAAAGTGTTTTTTATAAACAACATTTATCTACAATATAACACGCATTATAATACAGCTATTTACAAATTCATGCAATATATTCAAAACAAAGATACACACATAAAAGCTCATCACAGAATATTACTTTTTTAGTAAAATCCTAGTGTTTCTAGTAACATCTTTACTTTTTGTAAAGTTTTTGGCATTTGGATTTTGGTTTTGAATTTTTCATGTTGTGCAAGTGTTTACAGATTAAAAAGAGAATGAAGAAAAAATCATAAAAAAAGAATGTTATCGAAATACAATCGTTTGTCTAAACATGAAACGTAGTATAATAATTGTATAAAGTAGTGAATTTTGAAAATTAGTTAAGTGAAAATTTGAAGATTGAAAACTAGAAATTTTTTATTACATATAAGTATACCCAAAATAAGATGAAATAAGAAATTAAAAAAGAATAGAGGTTCGTTTAAAATTAGAAAAGTTGTCTTACCGTTACGAGCAGAGTAACATTGTAGAAAAGTAGTATAGAATTGAAGAGTTCATTTCTTTTTTTAATAGAGTACAGATAGTTTTTAGTTGGCTGCTTATATTCAAAACATTGTACAAATATTTTTGATGTTGCACGATTGAAAATCTGGCTTTTTTAGTTAGATATAAAATAAATATTCTCAATTAATTCTTATCTTTGATTATTCAAACTATCAAATCACGAAAACCTCATGATCGTTAAAAAAGCACAGTTTTTCAAAGTCTAAAACTATACTACAGTATAAATACAGTAGGGTTTGTATAAAGTTCAAATAGACAGACACATAACAGCATATTAGACAATGCTCACGTAATCTTGAATAATTTGCAACCTTAAAATCACTTGTTTGAAATAATCTAAGTGATGTGCGTGATTTTACATACATTTTTAAGAATATTTTTTGTAGGTATAGAGTATGAGCGCTTAAAAAGTCATTGGTTCGTTCATAGAGAAAATCTGTATGTTGGTATACATGGTAAAAATCAAATAATTATATTTTGTATTTGTTATAGAATATATGATCGAGTAAGGTTTTTATAGCATAATTGATTTTTATGTTATGTTGGATAATAATGTACACAGCCTAAATTCATAAAACTTGAAGGTGTTTATGCATTCTATGTCAAAGTTTTCATTCTAAAAATCACAGGCTCATCGAATTTCATACGTAATAATATTTCACAAATATGTGGTATTTTTATTAGATTCAAATTTTTCATGATTATTTGAATCAATTGTTTTATGCTAGAGTAGAAGTTTTCGTAACAACACTAAACCCTGTTATTCATAAATTATACGACTGTAATTTTGAAATGAATTTGAATGATATTTTTACTTTGACATATCCATTTATTGAAATATTATCAAACGATAATATTGGTTAGTATTTGGGCTGAAGAAATTTTGTTATTGAGAGTTGTGTTCACATTGATAAAGTAACACATTACAACAAAGATACGAGCAAATCTATGTTGAAAACAAAAATTTTAAAAAGAAAAGTAATCGACCCAGTTATCCCTAAGGAATGCTGGAAATAATATGTTAGGTAGTAGAAAATAATAAAAATAAAAACCAACGGCATACTTAACATTCAATGGGAAAAGTATTGAAATACAAAGTTAAAATTGCAACCTACACAGAAAAGAGAGACATATTATCGCGAATTCTACCTGACTCACTTATACATATATGATTCTTCCACGGATCGGCGCGTCTACATGAAGTTTGCTGGACAAAAAAAGAAACATTGAAATTCACTCGTTAGAGAAAATCGCTCAAAATTGTATGTTGTGTCCATTGAAAACATATAATTAAACTATTGAACAAAAATTCTCTTTGTATAATTTTGAAGTTGAGTTGAATTAACATAATATTAGCATGATTTTTTCATAATTAAAACGTAGATAACTTAAAATTTTTTTAATACTTATAGACCTTTTTTACTTATTAAATTATGTGTTACTCTATGCAATAGTTGTAAAAAATATTACAACACTTGAGTTTCAAAAATTGGGAAATGAAAATTCTTGTAAAAATCGTGTGATTTATCAAACCAACTCATCACTTTGAAAAAGACCAGCTTATTTTTCACAAGTAGGGGTACGGAGAGACACATCAGCGTGTACATAACACTCCATTTTCGATATGGAACAATTAAGTGATTCATTTGAAACGTCATACCATAAAATTCAAACTGTATGAAACTTACCTACGATGATGGCCAGTACAATCAATCCAATGACGCCCATTATGATCATCATCTAAAATAAGAAAATATTTCATTCGCTTGTACTGTTTCATGGATAACTATCTAAATTTCCATAATAAAATTATATGAAAAAATGTAGTTACCTTCAAATTTTGTAACCAGAATTTTCTTTTCAGCTTTCCAGCTTGCTGTTCAAATTGAGAAGCTCCTTGCTGCAAAGCATCTGAAAAGCGTACGAATTTTTCTCATTTCAAAGTGTTTTCAAGATTTATATTTCGATTGATTATAGTGTTTCGTACGAAACATATCTTTGAACTTTTAGTAAAAACATACCTGCTCTGTCGTCAAGTTCTGAGAGCTTTTGATCACGCTCCAAAACTTTTTCGACATTTGTTTTCATGATGTCGACGACTTCATCTACCTGAGCCTGAGTTTGTTGAAGTCGCTTTTGGGCGGCTACTTGCTGTGGTGTTCGTGGACCCCCGACAATTCCATCACCACCGGCTCCACCTGGAGCCCCACCTCCTGCAGCATCAGGAGCAAGTCCTCCCTCGGTAGCCCTGCACAGTTACAATACAATGATAAACCATGTTCATGAAAGTTATCCATTTAAATGCACAACTTCTTCAGGCTTTAATAATATTTTATGTTGAAAAAAATTAAATTTTGAAAAAATATTTTGATGAATGTCGTATGCAAATACTATAAATACTATCTCTTACTGCTTTTTTATTTTATTTTATTTTATTTTATTTTATTTTATTTTTTGAAGATTAATATATTTGATTTTTATAAATCAACTTGAACTCAGTTTATCGTGTAAGATTTTATCAGATGGTAGCTATCTTTGCATCAATTTAATAGAGTATGAATTTCCTCAATCTTTTAAATTCATATACCAACTGTCAATTGCGTACATAGTTTAAACAACTTTTAATGTATCAGTACATTAATTAATTATATTTGTAAAAAGTCAAATGATGACGAAAAATTTTTTTTTGAATCGTATCACGTGGTTGGTAGTGTAATAATCGATCCGTCAGTCAAAAACTGCAGACAGGCAATATCGCGCGCCACTACTATATGAAGAAATCGATTGGGCTCTCTGTAAACGTGTGAGCGTAAAACAGCCTGACACGGAGCTGAGTATTTGGCAAATATCGCACCCTTCGATTCATTAACTATAGAGAGCATTATATACACTATATACTGCAAGTCGGTAGTTAGAGCACCGAAAAATTGCGTAAATGCAATTCATGAATTATTTTCGCTCGCATAGCGAGGAACAATCGAACGGAATAGGGTTTATTGATGCAGAGCAACTATATAAGCTCGTGGATGGCGCTGTGCTCGGTGTATATTATTGCTTACACTCGTGCACTCCAAAGACTGAAAACTGCTCCCGCCTTCTTATCGATCGATCTCACACTTGCTTTCTATGTACGTTATGTGTACGAGCGTCCATCTATTTTCTGACTTATTTAATTTTTTCCACTTGGTCATTTTGGATTTTGATTTGCGACTTTTTATTACCTCTACGCGTAGGATTTTACCACCGCAGTTATATGACACAACGGCTATGCTAAATATATTCCTAATGCAATTAGTTGCTTTTTACATAAGTCTATAGCTTTTCGAATAAAACGACCATCAAGTTTTACCTACTCGTAGTTATATCATTCGAATATAATAGAACTATAAAGTTACGATCTTGGTGGTATAGTTCAAATCACGTTTTGTTGCGCAATAGGCGAACCTTCTAAATAATATTCTCTTTTTTTAATTTTATATCAAGTTTGAAGATTCAAATAATCATGTATTAATATACTTTTCACGAGAAAAAGTCAAAAATCAGACATTGACAGCATCTGGCTGCTCAAATAATATACCACTGATAACAAATGAAACAACAATTGTAAAATTAAGACTTTATTAAAATATTTTTCCAGAATAAACGCGTTACGTTTGACGTCAAAAAATCAAGGGCGAGAGCAAGAAGCAAATACTTTTGACTAGTTCAAGCAAGGGGAGCTTTCAACCCCTGTTATTATTAGCGTTGAACCGAAGAAAATTGGGTCACGAAAAAAAGCAAAATCACGAGCAAAGCTGCAATCAAGAAGAGCGTAGCGACGCTTGTTAGAAAGTATTGAAATGTACAGAGTAGCAGTCGAGAACGCGACTGGATGTACTTTTTATCGTACACTTTGTCGGTGAATCGTAAAGCCTACATTTAATTAATAGATCGAGCTCGCGATTACGGTCACTCGAGAGCTGGTAGTAAATCGAGCGCGAGACTTGGTCGATCCCTCGACACCGTAGCTGTTGATAATTTCAAGGGGATTACTCACATGTTCAGACGGGGCCTCTGGTCGATCGAGTCAGGGGCCTCCTCCTCCTCTTCCTGTGGGGGCTACGGAGCGTTGGTGCGACGGAAAAACTACGCGGCGAGCTTTGCGAAGCGAGCAGACACACACTAGTAGTAGCCAAGCGAGCCGATGCCAAGCTGCAGCAGCGACGAGCCTGCCGCTTGCGGACTGCTGCTGGCTGCCTGCGCGCGGTTAGCTGTTATTGATAAAAGTTCGTCGAGCTGCTGTGCACTGCTGGCTGCCTCTGCTGTTCTCGCTGCAGCAGCAGCAGCATCAAGCGCGCCACTCGACGTCGTGTCCTAGAGTCACGCTCTCTCTTGTCGCTCTGCTCGCGCTACCCAGCAACCCCCTGTTGTTGTAGTTGTCGTTGTTCGCGACCGACTCCTCGCCGTTGAGCTTCTCCGGAGACCGACGATCTACGAATCCTCGAAGAAGAAATCGCCACGAATCTTGCGGGCTCGCGGACAAAACCACCCCTGAGCTCTGCTGCAAGCTGGCCAAGCAGTATTATACGTGACACATCGACGAGTCATAGGCCCTTGCGAAAGCAAAGTTCGTGCCTCGTATATCTGTATCTATGCGTTCGAGAAGGCATTCGGTGCGCGCGCTGCTGCTGCTGCTGCTGCTGCTGCTGCTGCCTCGGCGCACGATGACGTGTTGTGGGGGCTGACTTGGGCGCAAGCGCCTGCTGCTTCTGCTGGTCTCCCCCGCACCCGCCACCGCCACAAACGCCTCTATGTGGCTCTCCCAGTCGATAAAACGGCGGACAGCCCCGCGCCCCGCTTCCCAACCCTTTCAATGATTGCGCGGCTGCGTCGAGTGTGTATACGTGCCAGAGCTCTTTTCTTCGCTATACGTACATGCAGGCGCGCTCTTGTATACGCTACACCCACTGTGTGTATTCTAATTTATACGTATGCCAGCGCATACACAGCCACGAAATAGTAGCCCCACTTGAACTTTCTCCTACGATGCTTCATTTGCGCTTTCACTTTCGTCCTGCTGACTTACTCGCGCGCCGCGATCCATGATACACTTTTCCTACCCTCTTTTGGTCATGTCTCTCTTTATTCGCTCTTTATTTTGCAATTTTGACTAACTGTTAACTTTATCGAATTCTGCGAGTCAAAGAAAGTTACTATCAAGTATCGAGTTACACATGAAAAGCACAAAGTCATTAACGAGACAAGAGTTGAATTATTATCGTTACACACAGGCACACAATAATGTTACAATTGTATTGTTAGAAATTATGCATGACCTGAAGTATCATTACAAACTTAGGACCACTTTTTTTATATACCTGAATGAAGTCAACGCATAAACGATGAAACAATCGAAACACTATGAAAAATTTGATGAAACATAGATATGCTCTTATAATATAAGGTTGAACCTCATAATTATGAAGCCGTATTGTCAAGGGCCACTTACAAAAATTAGTCGTGAGGGTGAGCTCACGAGTTTAGAAATAATTCTAAATTCGATTACTCGATTGAAAGAATTTTCTATCGCCACAACAATGAGAAATACTTAATAAAAATTAATAATTTAATTACATGTTTTAAAATCGGTTTTCAGGTCAATAATGAATCAAAAAAATAGATCAAGACGTGTTATTTTATCAAATTACGAAGAGTAGCATTTTTCCATTTCAATTAACTTATAAACATTCTTCTTTTCGTAAAAAGTGTTGATGTTAGTTTGTGGTTGGATTAGTTAGTCAATATACTTCTTTTTAATTTTTCTACAACTACTGCATCACTGACGTTTGAAACATTACTTATAAATTACAAACGAGTGAAATGAATATTCATCCTTACTATTCCTCCATTTTTCGAAACTTTTTCAAGTACATAAAATCTTACCAAATTTACCGGATTTTGTCAATAAAAGTTTGGGACTTTTCAAGTGGATCATTCCAAGTGAAACATTATTCAGAGACTTCGTTTGCATAAAGAAAATATAGCAAAAAAAAAACATTACGGAGCTAAAAAAAATTTTCTTCTTGCTATTCTCCCTTTTTTTGCAACTTTTTGCAACATTATTAAAAAATTCGGCATTTTAATTGTGAAACAAACATCTGAAGAAAGTCTTCGTCAATTTTCTATCTACATGTATTCATATTATAAAATTAAATTAATGCTTTTAAATTTTAGAAATTCTTTATACAGCCACGTAAATAAATGCCCCAATCTCGAACTTGCTTTCTAATAATGACCATTTGCACGATTTTAGAATTATCTATGTCTAATAAGATTTAGAATAATACTATTATCGTTTGCATTGCGAATTTTCATTGCGATGCGATTTTTCTTGAAAAGACAGGGAATAATTGCAAGGGATTTGATAAAATTTTCTAAAATATTAAAATCTTTAAAAGTTTTTTTAGTCGACTATGACGGAACTTGCACAAAATGAACATGTTCAAAATTATATCGCAATAAATTGTATTCGAATAATCACGATTCTACTGGAGGAAAACGATGCGTGCACAGTACACGTGCGTTGAAAAATATAATACGCCATCACTTCGTGTACAAAAAATCGTCTAGAATAATCACTTTTGCGTGCAAGAAGTGTACCTTGTCGTGCAATCGATAGGCTATTAAACATTGAAATCTGAATTTTTTTCCTCGTTTTACCTGAATAAAAACTCGAACAATTTTGGGCAAGAAACAGAATTAGCGGTAAAATATTTTGTTAATTTTTTCGACGTATTGTAAGGCCGTAACCATGAATCGTTTGCTGATTTTTTCGACGTTATTGCTGAATTCATTCACTCTCCAAAAGGTGAACTCTCAAAAGAACAGTGAATTTAACGAAGAAATATTGACTAAATTCACCGAAGGCCAAGTGGAATTTGACGAACTCGACAAGCATGGTGGTTTACATCAAGAACTGGTATTGCTGATAGGAAGCTCTAAAGCCAAGGAGGACTTTTTTAGCGATCACTCCTCTGAAATCGTCGATTTAACCAGCAATGTAACGATTCTGCCTCACTTGATGCTGAATACCCGAACAAAAACTGAGTTTTTAGACTTTTCCAATTTGAACGAGGATATCAAATCAGCTGGATACATTCCAAGGATTTATTTCACCAAAAAGATCGTTAACTTAGTAAGTACCGTAAAGCTGCTCCTTCTCATAGATTTTCCCTCTTTCGATAAGCAGATAGACGCTCTCTTCCAAAAAGCTGCAGAATCCATCAAGGACGTGGAAACATTTCTTGGCAGCATCGGTCTGATCGTAACGGAAGTTCAGAACGAGCAGCAAATTGAAAAAGTGAGAAACCATTTGAAAAACCTGGCCAACTCACTCACGGGATCGAACGAAACTGTCTCGATTATCAAAGCGTTACGCATTGAATACAAGGGAAACGACGATTTTAATAGATTGGGATTCGTTGGAAATTCAAAAGGTAGCTCGTTCGAGAGTCATAAAATTAAAGATCTGGAACGCGTGATCTACGAATCGATAGACTTTACGAGACACAATAGCAGTAATTTTATCTACACGCCGTGCCAAACCACTTGCGTCAGTCTCATCGACCTCCTGAGCCAAAATTTGACCAAAGGAGTCCGTCAAATCGGTCAAGAGATAATCAACTTTTACGTAAAAGTCGAAGAAAACTTGCGGGACTTCGAAGAATCATCTTTGTACTTCTCGCACGTAAATGAAAGTTTCTTCAAGTTTTTCAAGAATGAAACACTATCGACGAAATGGAAAAAGAATCCTGGACAATTGATTGAGCAAATCGTCGAGTACTCGAAAGCTGCAACTGTCGAATTGTTCAGTGAAAATCTTCAGTTATACGCTAACATTGCCAAATACTTAGTTTTTCTGCGAGGATCTGATGTTTCAAAGGAAACTTACGATTCGCTTGGCGATCAATTAATTCCTACCACCGAGTACTTGGAATCAACTGTCCAGTGGTACACATTTTTATCAAATCTCGATAAAAATATTCTATCGAATTTTATTGTACAAAGAGATATAAGTCCATACCAAAAAGTAACGTTGCAACTGCTCGAAGTTATTGAAAAAGTCAAGCGTGAAAATAATTATCTCCGAGACATTACCGAGAGTTTGAAAAACTTATTGAACTCAATACCGAAACCAAATGCCACTCAAGTTCTTGATGGCTTGAAATTGATTGATTTGGAAGAACCGAAATTAGAAGCATTAAAAAAATTATTGTCTGCGGCGTTGCAGCACCAAGGCGTAAGCAGCAAGTGCAATGACGAATTCAAAAAATTAACAATCCACGGATCGTACGTCAAATTAAGTGACGTATCCAAATTCAACTGTACTGATACAAATTTCATCGAAGTCTTCGCTTTGCATAAAGTATTTTTTGATGAAGATTTGGACCAAACTGGTAAAAAAGTGCATTTGGCAATTATATCCCCATATTGGGATGTAATTGGTCATCGAATAATCAAACTCGACGGTGGACCTGGCAAACTTCACAAGCCACTTCAGGCTAGACACTCCGTAGGGCCTGGAAATGTAGGAGAGGATGGCAAGCCAGGACTCCCCGGCGGATCAGCCGGTAGTTTTCTGGGTATCGGTAGATTTTTTACGAACCCTGGAAATCTCCATATATCCGCCAACGGTGGAAAGGGCGGCATTGGACAATACGGAGGTGATGGCACAGAAGAGGATAATGGTGGGAACGGTGGAGCTCCAGGACTAGGTGGACTCTCGGGTAAAGTAACAATCATTGGATTGGAAAAATCAAATCCAAACATAAGTGTAAGCTCTCAAGAAGGCTCGATCGGTAAAATTGGCATCGCTGGTTCTGGTAAAAATCGAGCAATAAATGGATACAATAAAAAAGGAATAAAATCGCCCGAGATGCTGCAGCCACCACCCTTTGATCGAGCTGTCAACAGCTATCAATCTTATCTCAGAGAAAACCAGATTGAAAATGTACGAGAATTTCTTTTGAAAATGTTCTCTAGGCTTTTAGCTGACACCGAAGCCGTCATCGATTTGTACGACATCGCAGGATTAATAAATGAATTCCGAGAACTGGAACATCAATTTTTCAAGTTGAGTCCCAAGATGTCTCTATTGCCAGATTATCAATCTTTGCTAGATCATATTACAAAGCATGCCAAAAAACTTAAGGGCTCTGAGCAGCTGTCCCAAGATAATAGCAACGTGCTTCGGTACCTGTACACTGCTGCTTTGAGTAAAATCATCAATTTAAAAAATAATATCAACAATAATTTGGTTGTTGATTTGAAAACATTTTTGGAAACAATCCAGACGGAACTTGCAGCAGTACAAAAAAATAAAAAAGAACACTTTATACATGGATATAAAAAAGATTATGTTCGAGAATTGGAGAGAAAAATTGAAGCAGCTAAGCGTTACGTGAACGATATAGTTTCCCCGGAAATTAACAGAGCTATTAAAGAATTGGATAAAAAAGTACTCAAATTTGTCGATGAAGTTGTTAAGCTACAGAATGCTGCGCAAGAGGAAAAAAAGGAATTAATTGAGAAACGAGAAAGTTTGAAAAGTTCATTGATTTTGAGCGCAGTATTTAACGGATTAAAAGTGGCGAGCTTATTTTTGAATTTTTTGGGTCCAGTTGGAACAGCACTGGGCACAGTCGCGGGCGGAGCCGCTTCTCTGGCCGCATCTTTGTCCGTCGATTCTTCAAACGTTGATAAAGAAACCTTACTCAAATTACCCAATGCGGTTAAGGAATCTCTATCGCCTCTGAAAGACCGCGTTAAAGAGCAGAAAGAAATACTCAAAGAAAAACTGAATGATGCTGAAAAGTTGCTCGTAAAAGACCGGTCGATACATGATACATCAGCAATCAAAAAAATTAAAGATGAAATTAAAAAATCGAATGAAGAATTAACGAAAGAAATAAACGAAGGCACATATGATACAGTTTCCGCCAAAAAAATTAATACTTTGAAAGATAACATTAAATTATTATCCTCGGAAAGAAGTAAAGCGAAGTCCTCAGAAATTGAAAAAATTGATGATCAAATTAAAGATGCAAGAAAAGAGTTAATAGAGCTTGAACAGACAAAAGACAAAACATACAATGTGGATACAATAAATGAGACTAAAAAAAAAATTGAAGATTTATGCTTGAAAAAGGTAAAAGCATTACAGGATAAAAAGACACTAGCCGATGACAAGACATCGAAACAATTAAAAGTAATCGAACGCGTTCAGAATACATTGAGCATTGTTGAAACGTCAATAGACGCATACAAAAATTATAGAGACCAGCAGGAAAAGATCGATGAAATCGGTAACCTCATTCGCAGCGCCGAGGAAAAATTCAAAGATCTGAAGGAATTTGAGCGCGATATCTACAAAAACGTCGTTCCCGTTTGCAGACAAATCGAAGACAATGTCAATGAGATGCAAGAGCAGCTGAAGGGACAATCCTCGGCAGCTCTCACCATCAGCAAGTGGAAGATCCAGAGCATCTTGAGATCCGTCATGAAGGATATCAAAACAGCGACCAATGGTTACCAAGTGCAGAGCGAATTTTTGGACATTTTCAATAAGCTCGAAGAAGGTATGAATGTCATGATCGAATTATACAATATCATGGACGAGTATCACGATAAGGCCGAGCTCGGCAAGCTCATAGCCAACATCAATACCAATCCTTCCAAAGTAGACGTGACGAACAACTCCGATCTGAGCGCGGCAGTCAATGACTTAATGCTTGTGATCCAAAACAATGTCATTATGCACGATTATAAAGTAGCCACTAATGCCATTCAACGTAACATCTTCCCATTCGCTGAGGACGTTTTCGGGCCTTATTATTTACCAGAGATTTTGAAGACTAATGACACCAATGAGATTGTGAACAGAGTTTCCAATGAACTTGAAAACTTGGAAAATAATCGGTTGCAATCGGAATCTATAATCCAAAAGAGGGATGCTTACATTTATAAAAATATTGTTTTCAATAGTAGAAAAGGAACGTTGAAGCCATTCTACACGTGGAAATACAACGAGCATAAAAGTAATATAGAGAAGCTGCTGAATGGACAGGAAGTAGTGCTTAAAGCCGATATAAAGCACGGCTTCAAAGGCAATGCGGTAAAATTCAATAAAATTGGTATTAATTTTGAATCTCCTAACAAAACAATCGAAAGCAAATTACACCAACAGTTGCAAGGCTTCAGAGTGACTCAGATCCATTTGGGTCACTCATTTTACAGATGCAAAGACAGAATATACATGATTCCGAGTGAAAACCAGACTATCCGGTACTCGATGACGCAAGATGACGGAAGCAACGACCCAGCTATTACCAATGAAGTTTACAATAAAATAGCGAAATATGAAGCTGTCCTCAGTCCATATGCAACTTGGAAAATACAATTGAATCACGACGAGGATGATTTTGATGACCTATCGAAGTACGCGAACGAAATGATCGATTTGGTGCTCGAGGGTACAGGACAGTACCTCGACTTGAACATGCCAGGGGTGTGTAACGATCAGCTCGATCAATACTACATACGGTCTGACAATCAAACGGAGGCCATTGAAATCTACGAAAAAACTCCGGAGCTTAATTTAAAAAGTGTGCAAGGAGTAATCAATGATTTATGGAGGAGCACTGCAAATTTGTCAGCGATTGTCAACGAAGCGGACTTGGAGGTAGTGGAAATTAGCGAACCAAAAATTGAAGAAGAAGTTATTGAGCATAAAGCTAATCAAGAATTCGAAAATGACTCTAAAAATAATTATAAACCAGAGCTTTATGAGAAGTTGTTCGAATATTGCAAAAATATTGATTTCTCGTCGCGCTTTTTGTGCGGAAACATTAAACCTCTTAACCATTACCAAAAAGAACAAGAAAAAATTTGAATATGAGTGCGTTTTATATTAATAAATCTATTAGCATGAAACAGATATGAAGCAAGTGTAGTTATTTCGCGAGCCTTATCCCCTTTCTTCCCTTTATAGGTAGCCAAGACGTCGGATAAAGCCGCATTTAAATTGTGATGGACAACGAGCGATATGCTTGGGTTTAACCATAGTATCGTAAGAGTGTTCTTATGATATTTTCTTTTTTTTTTAATTAATTAATACAAAACATATGATCATGAATAATATACATGATCTAAACTTGAGATTATTTTCAATTTTTCGTAAAAAATGAATCAAGAATTGAATTTAACGGCTAACATTGTTGAATGGCGTAAGGACAAGTTTTGCACATTTAGTAGCAATCATGAGGGATAAGTCCTACAGGATTTTTCCCAAATTTTCTCCGCAGTTCACACTGCAGTGCAGGTGTTAAATAATATTTTTAAACTATTTTTAGGCTAAAACAAATGTATCGCCTACGAAAAAGGTATGCGTTATCGCTGGGATTTTATTCATTTATTTTGTCGAGTAGGACTACTATAATGCTTCGCCAGCGTTTGTTCTCTGCTTACACTCTACCAATAGATTTCACTAAAAATACTCTAAAAAATTTTAAACTCGATTAATTTAAGGTATTTAATAAGACAATTCTCGACTTGTCTATCTTGAGTATTTTTTTTTTTTTTTTTTTTTTTTTTTTTTTTTTGATGGGAGCGATGGGCTCAGTTTATTTGAAGAGAAAAATGTATTACAATACATTTGTGTATTTCTGCTACATAAGTTATGTAGGGTAAGAGGTGGAAAAATAAATATAAAAACAGAAAGTGTGATAGACCCATCGACGTCTCCTTCTGCCCCTGATTGACCCCCGCGGGACCGCCGTTGGGCATTACTTCGCGGGGAGGGGCTGGGCTGGTGCACCGAGCTCGTCACGTTTGCACTGTTTGTTGTTTCGTCTTCTTCATGCCACGTCGTCCGGTCATCTTCTTCTGGCCATCTCTTCGGCTCTCAGTCTCGTTATGACTGATTTGGCGAAGGTGGCTACCGCAAGCCAGTTTTTTTTGTCTGCTAGCATTAGCTGGACGACATTCTCCGGCCTGGCAACTTCTTGGAGCTGACGGTGGAGCTTTGCTCTTTCCTCCTCAAATCGGGTGCAGTGGAAGAACACGTGCTCTGCGTTTTCGACCGTGTTGGGGCAGGCCGGGCAATCCGCGCTGGCGTTGCGGTCGTAGCGCTGGCTGTGATGTTTGAAGTAGCCATGGCCTGTCAGGAGCTGGGTGAGGTGATAGTCTACCTCTCCGTGTCTCCTGTCTATCCACAAACTGATGTTTGGGATCAGCCTGTGCGTCCATCGTCCTTTTGTCGAGCGATCCCATCGGCTCTGCCATCTTCTTAATGTCTCCTGGCGTTCTTCAGCTCTCGCATCCTCGTGGCGACGCTGATAGAGCCGGCTACGCTCGTCTGCCAGTAAGGCCAGCGGTGGTATGCTGGCAACGACGTAGGTAGCGTCGTACGAGAGGTGCGGGCGACCACTGATGACTCGTAGGCAGGCTCGCCGATGGATTGCTTCCGCCCGACGGATGCCGGCCCGTGTTTCGGCTCCGCNTCCTGGCGCAGGCTCCTCGCAGCTCCTCCAAGGAGACGTCAGGGACCTCGGCATCCGCAGGTCCCGCCGGAGGCCGAATCAGCGCCTCGGTCACCGTCGGGAACAGCGTGGCGACTGTCCGGCGCACCAGAGATGGCTCTCTTGGAGGCGTCGCCCTGGGACCCCTCAAGCGCGACATGACCGTCCCGTACGGCCGGCCCCATACGTTCCGGTCGACCTCGTCGCAGAGGGCGCTCCAGCACCGGCGCTTGCTCTCCTCGATTGCAGCGCGCAGTCGGCCTCTCACGATGGCGAAATCGACGCGTCGAGCATCCTCCGCGGGCCGTCCTCGCGCTCTTTGGGCAAGTCTGCGAGCTCGCAGGCACTGCCGACGGAGGGCGGCGATCTCGTCTGTCCACCAGTAGACGGGCTCGCGGTGGCGGCGGCGCCCTCCTCCGCCGGACATCGACGCGTCGCAGGCCTCGGTGATGGCGGCGATAAGGGCACCCGCCATGTCCTCCGGTCGCTCGGGCGTCGCATGAGGGATCCCCGCTCCAGAAAGCCGCTCGGAGAAGACCTCCTCGTCCAGTGTGCGGGCGCTCCATCTCCGTCTCGGGCCCGCCGGGCCTCTGTGAGGTCTATGATCACTCAGGCTGAATGTGATAGCTCGGTGGTCGCTGCTCGTGACGACTCCCCTCTCCACTCGCCATCCCGCCACTCTAGGGGTGAGCGAATCACTGGCGAAGGAGAGGTCGATGATGGAGCTGCCCTGCGGACCAGTGAAGGTCGGCGTGCGCCCGGTGTTCAGCAGCACGACGTCCAGGACGGAGAGCGCGTCGAGGAGAGCGACGCCGCGGGGTTTCGTCTCGCTGCTGCCCCACTCCGTCGACCAGGCATTGAAATCGCCCGCGATTATGAGGGGCCTCTTGCCCTGAGCCTCCTCCACCACGTCTGCCAGCAGAGCGGAAAACTCGATGTTGGAGAGCCTCGGAGGAGCGTATACACTGAAGATGTACACGTCGCTGACGCGGGCCCACGTGAAGAAGGAGAGGGGTCTCGATGGGCGATCCTGCACCGGTAAGCCTCCACGGACCCAGATGGCAGCCTGCCTGTTGGAGTCGGCAATCCACGTGTAGTGTGGACCAGGGTTTTTGTATTGGTCGCACACGATAGCCACGTTTATGCCGAGCTCACGCACCGTCTGGCTCAAGAGGTCTTGGGCCGACCTGCAGTGATTGAGGTTGAGTTGTAAAATCCTTATCGTCGACTGCTAAGGTGCTTCTTGGCCAAAGGGCAGCTGGGGCTGATGGTGGCGTGGCCTCTGGCGTCCGGGCCCTGGCAGAGCAGGCACACCGGTGCGCTCCTGCAGGTCTTGGCTCGGTGTCCGTCCTGTCCACACCGATAGCAGAGCATCGATCGGTCGGGACCTACGCAGCGCGCAGCGACGTGGTCGAACTCCCAGCAGCGGAAGCACCGCGAGGCCTCAGCGCGCTCGCGCACACGGCAGCTGACCCATCCGACTCTTAGGTGGCCAAGCTTGAGCGCCTTGGCCGCGAGCTCGTCGGGCAGGTCGATGACGGCGGTCTGCGTGCCCGCGTACGCCTTCCGCAGGGATCTCACGGCATCTGGTACAGGGTTTGCCATGCCCAGCTGATGACAGAGAGCCGTGCAGATTTCCTCCTTAGTAGCGCACTCGTCGAGGTCCCTGATCTCGAGCGCGGTGTCTATCTTGAGTATGCTATAGCCGATAAGTAACTAAGTACTTTCAAAATATTGCAAAAAGATAACTCAAGCATTTTAAAAATTCGAAATAGAAATGCGAAACTGATTTAAGAAATCAAAAAAAAAATTACAGACAAAATAATTTTAAACCATTTCCCATTTATTTAACTCAATTAAAAAATACAAATGCCTTATAATATATTTTTTTCATATTATTTTAAGTAAGCAAGGGAATGAACGCTAGGGTGGAGCGAGGGATAATTTTTAAAAATGGTGAAAATGCACAAAGTTATCGAAAAAACGGCTAATTTTAATAGGTTGATAAATAGGCTGTGTTATTGTTTTGTGTCAAAATGATAATTCCGATCACTATTACTAATCGAATTTCAAAAACCCCCATTTTTCATTCCGATCTACTGAACATTTCAAATTGAATCGCGTCTGATGCTGTGACTGTCTTACGCACATGAGTTGATACATATTTAGCGCGTCTTAGCACGCCGTGAGCTACCGCCATCTTCAGTACACTAGGAGAAAACACAAGACTGAAAACATCGATAATATAAACATTTCTGAATTCCGACTCATGATTCAACAGTTTCAAGCTTAGCAAACAAAACATATATGTTTCACTCTTTCGATTCACATTATTGACAGTTTGATATTATAGGTATATCTATTTGACGTTACAAACTACATCTAGTGTTCATAAGCTTTTTGTTTGCTTATATCTATTTAAATTGTACAGTGCTCATTATAACTATACTTTATCATTATTCAGGTATTGTTGAATATACTTTAAGTAAATTGTAACGACGTACAAGCTGTTGAGCAGATTTATTTTTCTTAATTCTATTAACAGCAAAAAAATTTCTTCAAGCCTGTAAGTATATTTCGTTTTTAAAATTTCATTATTCGCTTCTGCCATGACATTTCGAGTTTTCGACGTTCAAACGTCTATAGACAAATCATAATAATCAATCGCTACAACAGTTACGCGTAGCACTTTTAGTCGCCTCGCATTGCGAAAACGTACTTGCAATCGATCGTCTGCGCGTTAAATCTGTGCGACTACAACCTGTTTTTTCTCGTGCCTTTTCTTATACACCGTTTGAACGTTGACGTACTTATATCTTTGTTCATTTCATCTGTTCATATTTCTACTTGCTCAGGTTCGTCATTAAACAACTTACATTTTTTATTTCATTTAAATGAGGTTATGGGCGTGTTCAGTTGTATTAGTCACCACTGCTAGCATTTCAATGGCCAGATTTGACTTAAAATAATTGGGCTACTTTGTAAATAACTGATTTAGTTATCTTTCATTTAAACTTGAATTTGATTTGCATTAAGAGACCATACCTAACAACTATTAGTGAACCAAACACTTGTGAAATTCAAAAAGTACAACAGTAATATTGCCTCTTGTAGATCTTAATAACGACAATTTAATATAAGGTTTCAGTTAATTGTTATTAGATACCTATGTCGATTACATTATTATAAATAAGTTTTTTTCAATGATTGATGTTGTTTAATTGGTTTTTAAGAATCATGATGGACGGCAGTGGATATTCTGGAGAAAATGATTTGGGTGCAAGATCCAGTGGATCTACAGTGAATAACAAAAAATTACAACAAACTCAAGCCAAAGTTGATGAGGTTGTTGGAATTATGAAAGTAAATGTAGATAAAGTATTAGAAAGAGACCAGAAATTATCAGAATTGGATAACAGAGCTGATGCATTGCAAATGGGAGCAGCTCAATTTGAGCAGCAAGCTGGAAAATTAAAACGCAAGTACTGGTGGAAAAATTTAAAAATGATGCTCATCATTGGAGCTATTTGTGGTATTTTATTGATCATCATAATAGTATGTAAGTACATTTAAAAATATCACTGTAATCTACTACATTACAATATACTTGAATTAGTTATAATAAAAAAAAATTATTACAGCATCTGTTTCTGGTGGCTCCAGTGAATCTGGATCGCAATAATTGAATATTGCTCTTGCAACAAAATGTTTGTAAAGTTTGCGCTTGAAATACAAGACAGAATACAAGGAGAATAATTACAAGGAGACAATAAATATAAATAATTGATCAATTATCGACAATCAATGGTTGAAAGCTTACATATATTTTTAATGATAATTTCAAAGGCGGTAATGAAAAACATAGAATAAGTACAGTATTAAGTAACAGTTGTCTACACGTAAATGAATTTTATATGAAAATGTTATAAGATTATCAGAGTCTTCGCCCGAATTAATCAAATGGATGAAAGATTGAATTGTTCTTATAAGTGTTGTATTTGTGATTAATATTTTACATTTTCAAAATAGCATTTTTTCAAAAGTGTTTGTGGTTATTGATAATATTTGATATTTCATATACTTATATACATCGTATAAAATGAGTATTTTGTTATACTAATGTTAGTCTGTAAAAAATTTTATACTATATACAAAATATATCTTTGATAAATTGATTTTAAATACTAAACTGGATGGATTACCAAAATATAAGCACAAAAAATTGATTTTTCTAAGAAATTTTAAGATATTTTAATAAACATAAACATTCAAATAAAGTTTTTCCTATTTATTGATAATAAAATAGTTCATGCGTATAGTTGATTTCAACTCACTGTAAGCCCACTATGATTCACTAAAATTTATATTATATATTGATAATGGTTCTTTATATAAACATCAATATTTTTTTGTAGTCTACATGTAGATCTCCAAAAAATATTTAAAAGTAGAATAATTGTCCGAAATAAATAAATTTTACACTGGCATTAATCATGTTCAGAGGGAAGTTGAATAATTTCTATTTCTATTAATAATTTACTATTCTTCAACGTTTATTGTCACAAACAATAATTGCGCAAGAGGTAACATAATATATATATGAGTCACGAGAAATATATGATACTGGAAATGTTTTATTGCATGGAGACATACGGTAAAAAATCAATAGCTTATATAATAAAGGAAAACAAAGACTCGTTCTTGACAAAAATACGCCTTATCTTGAAAGGTTTTCCGGCCAAAGCTAAATTCGACCCTTATTTGTATTTATAACATAGGAGCAATACACCATGATAACGATCAAAAAAGGTAAGATGGAATCGTTGGTGTTAATTGAAAAAAATTCTAATGAACTTGAGCCGCTTCATCTCGCGAATAGTAATAATATACATCCTTACGCACTTCTATCGACAGTTCATACAAGTTGAGGTGTGGATCGTAAAATTCACGTATGTATCAAAGTTGAAAAACAGATGGAAAAGTGTTTGCCATTTGCATCCACTTTTATTGAGTGCTCCGAGATGGCGATAAAAATCTAAGCGGAGCATATACGCGCACGGTGCGAGACGGAGAGCTATTATGCGAGTTTATCATGCGATCTAATTAACATCTTAAAAAGCACATCGGCTGCAACAGATATTACGCTCATACGTGCCCGGTTTACTTTCCCGTAGTGATAATCAGTCGTACGAAACGGCAAACTTTTTTTTAAGCTCCAACGAGCTTGGTACAAGTTGGCATAGATATTTTAATTAAAAAAACGATAGTGTAATTTTGGCCATGATTAATTAGCTCGAAATTTAATTCTTATCGTTTTCGCTTCGCCAAAATTCAGACTTTTTTTCTCCTACAAAACCATCCGAGAGTTATACTTTAAAAGAGCTAGTATTTAATAACTTCATTAGTCACATTAAAATCTGTTGTTTAAAAAAGAGATCATGTGTCGACAGGTTAGTAATATGCAGTATCAATATTGCCAGTGTATCCGAAACGAATAAGTACGAAGCTTCGTTGTGTGAATCAGTTCTATGCGATACGTGCGTTAATAATGTTTTGCCTTGCCTTGCTTGAAAAAAAAAAGGAAAAAAAAATTTCTCATGTCAGACGAATTAGCTCGAGTACAGCATCTGAACATTACCATAAACTCGTTCGATGATTGTTCTTGCGTATTTTTTTTTTTTTTTTTTATTAATTTCAAAATTATCTCATTAGTTATTTGAATTTCCGATGATTGTCGATAGGGAATCGGTAAATTTGTCAACTCGAAATTCGATTTAGCTCATTAAATAAAAAAGCAAATCAGTGGTACGAATTTGCTCTTCGACTATTATTTCGAAAAAATTGTGCTCGAAAAAAATCTCCCATTTCATTAGGAAATTGGGTAAGAACCAGTTTTTACCAAAGCTCTTTTTTTATTACAGATAAGAAGCAAAGTCTTTAATTATGCCTATATATCGAACAATAGGATGACGTTCGTAAAATAATAGAAAAATTATCTCGCTAATAAACGTTGAATAAAATTATTCGCAATGTCAGATGGATGAAAAGGCGATCACGTAGTCTGTCTTGCCCTCTGTCTCTGTCTCCCAATCAGTAGTTGCGAAACATTGATAATATTCAAAACAAGCAGTGGTATATAATTCAGGCAAGAAGAGCTCGCTTATGTGACTAGAGAGGGCATGAAAATTAGCTATGTATACGAGGTACGAACAATCGATGAATGCTGATAAGAAAAATACGACCTCAGCTGGGTCTAGATTGTCCGGGCCGTATAAATACTCGCGCGAGTTCACCGCCGCTCAAAGGAGCCACGGGATCGGATCGGTTGTTCTCGCGACTACGACGACGACGACTCGTCGCGGGAAGGAAAGCGAAAAAGAAAGAGAGCTCGAGTGATAGTGCGTATATAGCTGCAGCCAAGACGAATAAGAAAGAGAGAGAGTCAGCTGCGGACGAATCGTTATGTGGCAAGAAGAAACAGATTGCGGACTGCTACGGAGGTAAATTCATCACGCGTGCGTGCCTCGCACGCAGATCTGCACACGAGTGCTGCTGCTGAGGCCCCCGAGGCGAGAACCGAGCATATACCAGGCAGAAGCGAGCCGAACTTAGCAGACTACGCTTCGACGTTGTGCACGTTGGAGCGCGCGCGATCTTTGACGTTACAGTCGGCCCGCGCGCGCGATATGAGCCGCAGTCGATGCCTCGGCGTGCTTATAAGCTCGTAACAATAATACGGTGAAAACACGAGTGTCAGTGCGCGATTAGCGGCTCCAGAGCCTGTGAGAATTCATCGATCGATCGACGATCGTCATGGTCCTTCGTAGCATCGACTTTACAGCGATCGTCGTCAGTGAGTGGTAGGTTCGCGAGCTAAATTTGGCCGATCGGTATACACCGTCGACGTTTCCGCTGCCTTCGGGCTTCTATCGAGGGAGATCGTCGTTGTGCCTTTCGAGAGAGCAAGACTCGAAGAAGTTGGAGCGTGGACGCCCAACCGCCGACACACCACCAACATGTCGTTCCACAGAGATTACGACTACGAGGACTATGGCCTGGGTTACCAAAACACCTTGGTGAGTCGATATTGACTTTATGGTATATACATTTTTTTCTGCATCTTTCCGATTCGAGCCGGTTTCCCTTCGCCTGTAACTATGGAATGCATGTCACTATCGTCCACGCTTGCCTTTCCTCTTCTATGCAATATAAATCTCTCTCGAGGAACAGATTCGTATAAACTACGTATACGAAGCGAGGCGCTTGTACACATTCGCCGGCGCTTCGTTGTATATTCAACAAGTAACCCAAGTAGGACACGTGTCGCTCAACACGCGCTTCTCGTCGCCCGCGCAGCAACCCAACAATTTCAGTCGTCTTTCGTGCTCTTTTTTTGAACTATGCAGCTTGTTTTCCATAGCGAGCTAGAGCTAGAAAGCTCTCGAGTAGACATCGAAATCTCAAAATACCGTGTCCGTCGATTTCAGACATGTGTGTGTGTGTGTGCTGCCATTCGCTGCGTGACATACCATGCAGTATACGTCGTTGCCGGTCACTGCCTATATGTCGTACCGTATAAACCCGACGATCGTAGCCTCGTGCCCCGTACGCGCAGCATAATACTGCATGTGCACCTCGCGAGTGTCGACACGCAGGCTCTCACGAGTGTGCCGCAGCAACACGTGCGCTCGCATTAATAAGCCTATACCGCAGCTAGCCGGTCAGCTGATTTTCGCGACTTGTATACCGAGCAACTATCGCGGGGAGTCGCGAGTCGTCGTGGGCTACTGCTGCCGTTTTAGCCCAAAGTGTGTTGCTGCACGGAAAGAACGAGAAATCGATAAATATATACATAATATGCAGAGAGAGGAGAGGAGAGGAGCTCGGCTATAGCTCGTTATATGCTGCTCATTATTCTTCGCTACCGATCATCGCGTCGCGCTCCTGCACTATACGTATACATATTCGTGCACGAGCAATTCGAAAAATGTCGACTGTGACTCATTTTTTTTGCAGTGCTCGGCAATTGTCGCGCCAGCTATAAGCTCTGTAATGTATCCGCAGATTTACATCGCGTCCTTCCATTGGTAATTTCATATATGACAACCATACGGTTCGTTTTTTTTTTTTTTTTTTATTTACGAAAATATAATCGCGAATCGAGATCTATTAATTACAAAGTGTGTCCTCTGAAAATAGTCACTGGTTTTACAGCTAAAAGATTGCCTTATAATTGCATAATATTATCTATTGTTCAAAAAAATGTGCATTTGCTTTATTTCTCCAACGGAATTACGAATTTACTATCGTGCTCCCAAGGCCGAAAAAAATTGATGATAAACTTTATTGATCCGGTTTATTGTTACAGTCAATAGATGAGTACTTCTAAATACGATTTTGTTTGCAAAACTCATCATGCTCAGAATGTTGATTATTATTTGTATAAGTAATAAAGGTTCTATTTAAATATCTAGAAGAATTATCATACGTTTAGCCATTAGACATTTTCATACGATCATAAACAATTTTTTAAAATGTTTGCATAGAAGATTCTAGTTCTATGGTCTCTAGAGTGGCTACGAAGCTTTTGGGAAATTTTTCAAAAATAGCATTTTGACTCCACTTCAGCGTGCTTTTGATCAAAATCAGTGATTTAGTAACCACAATTATAACACAAGAACATTGAAAGCATTTAAACAAAGACACTTTTCATCATTTTTTCGTTTTTTCCTCAAGTCTAATGTTGAAAAATATTTATATTTTCATTATATTAGAAGCGTCACGAGTTGGCGAGTATGCGTGTTATCAACCAAGGTCACTCAGATAGATCTGTGAAAAATATCTCACAATATTTTCAATCGAAAGTAATATATTTTAAAATTTATTGTTTAGAAAATTACTTGAAAAAAGAAATTCAATTTACATTTGTGGCTCAATGAAGCATCTATTTTGTCGAAAATTGCGCGTATGTCATATTCTGCTAGAGGTTGAAAAATACGTATAGACAAGTTCTGACATTGTAAGCACACGTCATATACATGCATTTTTCTTCACACTGAGCGCGATAAGCGCATGAATGGATCGTATACATGAAAAAGAATTCCCTTGTCTGTCGAAGATATTTTGATTATTGTTTCGACGTGAATAATATAATTCGAACAAAACTGATGATGTATATAATTTTCAATTATTAAGAAAATACAGAATGAAGCAAACTCGGTAAAACCAAGCCAAATATGGCAATGAACTAAATAACGATGGTTTTAAGTTTTAAACAATCTGATAGATAAGAAGCTTTTTTCTGTAAGACACACGGTGACAATACAAATCTTTACACATGAATATTCAAAACATCGCGGTTAAATCGATATTACATGTGGCATATCAAGTTAATATTTCATTTCCTGCTATTTTCATTATGGTTGATATAATTGTTTCGAATGATAAGAATGAAAAAACTTCTTTTCTAAAAATTGTACTGTCAAATCAATAACTTCTTGCGCTCTGACATTTTCTGCATTGAAAACAAGAGGTATTAGTCAATTTATGAATAAGTCATTATTTCTCTTTAATTGACGCAATTTCTAAAAAAACTGAACTTCTTACATGACAAGGATAAATTGTTTAATCAATTTGCAAATAGCAGCCAGACAGTTGATTATAATTTAAATATGAATTAATTACGAAGTACAACAATTATCGAATGGTAATTAGACGTTTTCTGTTATAAATGAAAATAATGAAAATTATCAACCTCATAAATATGTGAAATTCATATAAATCAGTTGCAATACTCAGTACACTCATTCACATGATCTCGTAAGGAAATTAAATTTCAATCGAAAGTTGATTTGAATTGGGTTACTGACAATGCTTTCACCTATTTTAATAGATCCCTCTGGTGCACGAAGTATGTAATAATTTAAAAATAATAATAACAAAGATGAGTTCGTGAAATAAGCGATATTTTGATTTATCAACTCTTCGAAGTATAGCAGTAGCCATTAGCTAGTACAGCAGTACAAAATACGATGAACCACTTAACGAATGCAGAAACAAACATTTAATAGACTCTCGGTGCATGCGGTGACTATGCGAAGCATCTGCATGGTTGTTCTATTTTCGAATTCAGCTCATACCTGGCGCTCCGCAGGCGTTTTTAGGCTGTTAAAATTCGAAGCTGCATATAATGGTGCAGCTCGACGCTCGACCGGCGCGACCGCATACGCATCTACTTACCCGAGTTTTAATGCACACAAGTATATAATAATACGAGAAAACGCGTGAGAACTCATCGATGCGGCATCCCGCAACCTGCTTGCCGCGTGGTAAAAGCGCTTGCGCACGCAGAAATTTTGCACGTCTCTCTGTAGATCGTGTATAATGCCACACACATGTGTAATACGAGGTAAAGCAGTGTGGAACTTGTATTATAAGCCCGCTACCAGCAGCCAAGTATCTAGAAAGCCTTTACGTAACGAGGAGCGACAGTGGCGCGCGCATATTATAATACACACATATGTACGCACGATGCCCTTGTTGAGACGGCGACTTTGCGTGCATTTTAGCAAGAATTTCGAGCTTCTGTTGACGACGACGCAGACATACGCGCACATTGATAATCGGTAGTGGACACGAATGAAGAATCGACGATAGTGTTGTTATCTTGTTGTGATTGGATATTTTTTGTTTGTTGTTCGATGTAAAGTGCCTAATAAATCGAACAAGCTGCGAGAAGACGGCGATTCTCATTGAATCCATATGAATTTAAACTGCAGCTTTTGAAAAACGCCGAAACATCAGACATAATTCAATTGCAAATTGAATTCGACTATTTTGACATTTGTATGTAACACGCGCTTTTTCCAAATCAACCAATTGAATTTCGTTAGAAAGTGTCGTGCCTTTATTGTACATGATGTTCCGTCTACAACGTCGTAAAAGACTACCTCGTTTTCAGCATCAATAAATAATCTTGGCGGGACATTTGAATGGACTGCAAAATTGTATGTTGGTAAGTTCGCTCGCTGCACTCTACGCCGCGCGACGAGTGAATGAAAAACAACACGGCAGATGCGAAAGGTCAAGCGATTGCTTGCCACCAATCCATGCTCTTGACAAAAGATAAAAATAAAACAGCGAGTAAGAAAGAGAGAGAGAGAGAGAGTAAGCGTCTGCGGAGCAAGTAAAATTTGCACAGCATATCGAAGTCAACAACTTTTCTGCGATAAATCTTGCCAAATGTGAAATTATGATAAGCGATAAGAGGCGCACAAACTGTAGCATCGAGCTAACAAAGAGATAAATCGAGTGCAAATCATCGAGGTGTACACCGAATTACAAACAGAGTACAATCATATCGAAAAAAACAAGAAAAGCTCGGCAGAGAGCAGCAGCGGCAGCATTATGGCTCTGAGAAAATTGTACGGGCGCAATTGCCGAGGCCTACTGCAGCTCCAGCAGCATCGCGGTGAAAACGAGCCCGCTTTTGCCTCGAGCTTTCGCGAGCGTCAGTGCTTGCGATCGCAGCAGCAGCAGCAGCAACAAGTGGCCAAGATGGCGAGCAGCTCGACTTCGAACTACCGAGAATCGGTCGTGCCGAAGGAAGAAGTCGTGCGATTTATCGCGGACTGCATGTGCAAGGTCGGAACCACGCCCGAAGATGCCCGCACGGTGGCTCATCACCTCATGACGGCCGATTATCGGGGCCACTTCAGTCATGGAATGAACAGATTACAAATGTACGTGGAGGATATCGCTAAGAAAATGACCGACCCGACGGCCAAGCCTCGAGTCATTAGAGATTTTCAGGTTCGTACCATCGACCGTACAGACTTGATACTGATGATAATACATGAATAAACTATGCATGCAAAGCATAATGACTTTCCAATTTGAAACATCAAAAGTAATGTTCTTTAATTCATAAAAAAACAGCACACATTTCAATTGAATTAGAGCGCATAGAAAAATGAATTTTCTGTTTTGTTCAATCAATAATTAAAAAACGTAATTAAAAAAAATTATCATCTAAATCAAAATCTGCAGATGAAAGTTTGGTGGAAAAAATTGGAGCATCTAGTAATTATGAACTGATATTGACTATGAACTGATATTCTCACAGGCTACTGCATTGATCGATGGATGCAACGGTCTGGGTCAAGTCATCGGCAAGCACTGCATGGAGCTGGCCATAAAAAAAGCCCAACAGTTCGGCATCGGTCTCGTCAGTGCTCGCGGCTCGAATCATTACGGAATCTGCGGCTACTACAGCCTCATGGCTATGGAACAGAACCTGATCGGCTTCAGCTGCACCAACACGAGTCCTCTGATGGCCCCGACGCGAAGCGTCCGGCCCGCCCTCGGCACAAATCCCCTGTCGCTGGGCATGGCCGCCAACGAGGGCGACGAATTCGTCCTAGACATGGCCACGACTGCCGTGGCTCTCGGCAAGATCGAGGTGGCGCATCGCAAGTGCGAAGCTATCCCCGAGGGATGGGCGATGGACACGGCCGGTCGAGTCACGACCGACGCGGAGGCCGCCTTGGACAGCTCGACTCTGTTTCCTCTAGGCGGCGAGGAAAAAAATTCCGGCTACAAAGGCTACGGTCTTGCGTTAATGGTCGAAGTATTGTGTGGCATTCTCAGCGGGGGCCAATACGGTCCCAATATTCGCTCGTGGAAAAGCGACAGCAACGTTGCCAACTTGGGACAGTGCTTCATGGCTATCGATCCGGAAGTTTTCGCGCCAGGTTCGAAAGACAGATTATCGCATTTATTAAAACAACTCAGGGAACTGCCAACCAGTGGCGATGCGAGTGTTCAAGTGGCTGGAGATCCTGAAAGAGCCGCCATGCATAAAGTTGAGAAAGAGGGCGGTATCAGCTACCACGAAAATCAACTCAAAGCCTCGGAAGAGTTTGCCAAGGATCTCGGAGTGAAACCGATGCAATTGATTAAAAAAATTTAAATAAAACAATCCAATGTATTTTAAGATGAACACTCGTTGTAATTAGTGTAAGGAGATGGGATATTCTCATGAACAGATGGGATATAACTCATCAAATAAGTCATGGCGACCAGAATTATTTTGTATTTTCTACGAATGTTATTTAAAGAACTATTTTTATAATGTATTTATACGCGATTAAAAAGACAAAAATATGTAGAAGAGTATTACAAAGGTTTTAAAAGAATATATTTTATACTTACTCAAACTTCAAAATATCTCAATTTATTTACATTTTTTAAGGTATCATGTGATGGTGACGCAATCGTAATTATCTTTTGGATAGAAAGCTCATTTGTTGATTGTTGCTCGCATAAGGCGTTAATGGAATGATTCTAATGATTTTTTACAGATTAAAATAATTTGGCTAAGATAAATGATCGATTTTTATTTTATATACGAAAGCTTTTTTCTACTAGATAAAACAATAAATAGCGACCAATAGCGAACTAAATATAAAAATTGAAGCTATACAGTTCCTAATTACGAAGATCTAGATGATTAGCAAGAAAAAAAGAGAAAAAAAAAGAATTATTTGAGTACACGTTTGGCAGGTACCGCTCGAGGTTTACTCGGTGTCACGCGCTCGCGTACGCCAATATTTACAGTTCAAGAGGCAGGCGGCAACGTGTGTGTAATCTAATAATTTAATGGAAACAAGATTCTCGTCGCCGTGCGCTGTAGCACGCCGTGTATACGCTACTCGTGTTTTGCTCTGCCGTGTCGGCGAGGATATCGTTCGAGTCGTCTCGACATTCGACGATCCGGTACACGGCATAGACATCGGGTTTTGCACGGTTACACGCGGCTAAATATATATAATAAAACAAATGTTAGTTCGTCTGTACCTCATTGATTACCGATCGCATTTTCAAGGCCGGCCTTGCCTCTCTCGGCTCGTCAAATCTCGCTTCTCGACGAGTCACGTGAATTTGATCCATAGTACAGGTGACGTTCATGCTGCTGCTTGTAACACGCTCGTAACGAGAAAAAAAACCCGATATCGCGATCACGATGGATCGCAGAGTAAAACATGCCACTAGACTGCCGACCACAATGCACGAAACTACATCGGTCCATAAAAAATTTGGCTTTAATAAATTAACACAGAATTTCTTAGATCATAGGAAATAATAGAAAGATACAACTTTCACATACTTGCAAAGATTCGAATTTGACATCTTTGCTGAGATTTGCTACAGAAAAATTATTTCACGAGGTTTTATTAAAATTATGCTTCAATCGCGCGGCATCTTATCGACACACGTAAATTAAGTAGAGCACGAAAATTAGTGTTCTTTAACGCTTCGGAATACTAATCACATATCTATGTTACTACACGTGTGAATCACACACTCATCGCTTGTTGTGCTACTGATCTTTGAATTACGTACTTCCAATTTGGAGGAATGCAAATATGAGATCAAAAAAGTGCCGATTTCAACAAGTGCCAATTAAATGTTCAACCCATATTTTTTACAGGATCTTCCGTGAACCAAAAATAAAGCTTGAACCACTATTGAGTTTGCATTAATATTTTAAGTTATGAAATTATCATTAACATCTGCAAAGTAGATGGAGATTTCAAAAATTCCTTTAAAAGAAGAGATTTCACATGTTGCAGCGATAAATTTCATATTTTAAAATGCAATGGTTATGTTATTCAATTGAAATAATCATAGCTTATATGCTGCGTCTATTTTTGAAATAGATCGATCTCGAGGAGTATAAGTCCAAAATAATTAGAAAATATTGTTGACCACAGCATCCTCTTAAATTTTACTTTTTGTTGCAGGAAACAAAAAAATGCTACTTTAAATGATACCGTAAAATCTGAACTAGCTAATATTCATACACAAAATTGGAGTTTTCAACTCTTATCTGATTTTGATACAATCTTTAAAGAGTGTCACAGCATTCAAACCAAATTGCAGAAATCACTGTATTGAACTGAATCCCTCCTTAAGATCGTAGTAAATTTCATATTAACTTGATTCAACTCATTTTTTCGGGTTGGTCTCGCATGTGGTATAATGAAAAATATCCAATTAGGCTAATTACTTAAAGTATGCATGCAGGTAACACATACTTTACGAGTTGATTATCAAAAATTGAATACTGTTCTTACTTATGAAAAATAATCAATCAATTGTTGTTCTCGTTTTTTCGCATCTTTGCAGCACCAAGAAATTTCACATTTCTAAACTTTTTCTGTTTATGTTTACGAGACATAGATGAATGACGTTTTCAATGTAGTAAAATATTTTCAAAAGAATCTTGTTACTATGTCACTACGATAAAAATGGTAAACGCTGAATTTGCAAACCGAATCGTTTAAATTATTTAACTATTCAAATGAAAGTCATGATATTTGAACATTTAAATAAAATTAGAGTAAAGATAAACATTATAAAACCATGAGGTAATTTTGTGTATTTCGCGGTGGTGCTTGGGCTCGGTTGTCATGTGACTCGTATTTATATTTGTCGGAAAAATGTTTCAGGCGCACTCTTATTAAGTAAACTTGAGATAAGCTAATTTATTGGTAATTTAATAACAATGATCGTAGGATATGTAGTTCATGTAGATTGAGATTTAAACTCAGTTCTTTTTTAGAGCCTGGTAAATAGTTGGTGTAGAAACTTTAGTGGAGATTGGTCAAAGTGCATAATTTTGAAAACATCTGCATTGTCAGTATATATCAAAAGTTGAATAATACTTAAAGTTTAATTTATCCCAATTCAATCAAACTGGAATACAATCACACATCATCTAGGAAAGTTAGTGTTTCATATTTCTTATGTATTTTTTCGTGTATAAAATATTATGCTTTCTCATAGTGCAAGCTCTGTGTCGAAAATGAATTTCTAAAATAAATTTTAACGGTTTGATTAACATAAATATTTGAATAACATAAATATTTAAACTAGATTAAATCCTCTACAAATGTCTATGTATTTGCGTATGTTTTTTTTTCTGTTTTTTAATGTTGGACAAAGGCAGAGTACCACCATGATTATTTTCGGTATAACACACATCGATAAACTCTTCATTTACTCTGAAAATACCAATAACATTTAAAAAATGCAGTTTCGTATTCAGTTATTCAAATTTGCACTGTAACAATTACTTTGCATTAAAGTTGAGTATGTCACTAGACTTCATTTTATTGGATGTAAGACAAGTCTACTTTTTAGTTAGTATTTACAAATTATAGAATTAAAATGGTGGCGACTCAATATAAGCAAAAGAGAGAAGTGAACCATCTCTAGTGCTCGAAGTGTTTACAAATATTGAACAGAATTAATACCAGCAGATGATGTCAAGGTGGTAGAAATTTTATTGGCATACTTGATAAACGTGATGAGTGCGTAAAATAGCTTAGAATTGTATTCTATATAATATTAAAATCTTACATTTGAGTAAAAATTTATAAATGATGAATCGATTTAAAGTAAGTGCAAAAAGTCACGCTCTCACAATGTGAATTGAAAGTTACGCTACAGAAATTTTTTCTTATACATCGTAAGCGTATTGATTGGCGCGCGTGCTTGCACATTTATGTATGTGTGACAAAGACCGCAAGTGCAGATCGGTAAGACAAGCTGAATTACAAGGTAATTTTCAGCAATGATAACTCGTGACTTTGAAGTCCGCTTCCTACAAGCCCTCGTTGTGGGAAGTGTCCTATTACTCAGCGCTACTACTCTGCTCAGTCGGCACAACAATTGGCGACTTTATAGCAGAATTAAGACTTGCCTCTTTGCAGCCCATTATTATAAGCTCGGTGCTTAATCGAACACAAAGATGAAAATGTTGAATGAAAGAGCTAGTACACAAACGCCATTGACCATTGAAACAAAAGATCCGTTTGAGAGGTTATTCTTGTAAAATAATACATCAATCAGAAAGTATGAAAATGTCTGAAATTCAAAATCGTAGGATGTTCAGCACGCGGTGATTTTGTAAACGTCATGCACGCGCTATGAAAATGAAGTAGCCAAACTGCGAAGCTGAGAAAGAAAGTACCCGGAGAATAAAAGTGCGAACAGTGCATTACAGTCCGGAAACTCGTTCATCCGATCGTTCGAGCAATCAGCAGCAGCAGCAGCAGCAGCAGCAGCTCGTCAGGACAATCTAGCGGAGAATTTTTAAGTGAAGACACGAAAAGCGTGGGAGTCATAAATAAAAAGATGACATCTCGAGAGCGAGAGAGGATTAGGCTTCCTGAATCGTCAGCGTGATAATGCTCTCTCGTCGGCCGTGTGCGCAGATACGCTGCTTTGCGCACAGATCGCGACCAAAAGAGAGACGGAGCTGCATGATGTACTATTGGTACGCGCGCCCGTCTTCCTTCATCTCTCGCTCTCTCGTCGCAGCTCCGACCTGGCTTATGCGCGGACGACAGACTCTACTACTCTCGCATGTACACACACACAGAAAGGGACAATTGATGCAGTCAGGGGAAAATTGACCGTGTACGTACACGCACACACATAGAGAGAGAGAGAGAGAGAGAACTGCGCCGCTTTACGCTCTACGCTCTGCGGCCAGGCTAATGAGTTTATAAATTGATACGTGAGCGTTGTGCCGCTGCTGGACTTGGCTGCTACTACTAGGAAGCCAGTGCAGCTGCTGCTGGAGTAGCGCCTGCCGTGTAGTGGTGTATATGCGACCTCCTCAGTCTGTGATTTGCATTGACCGCTATGAAGCGAGACTGACTTTTCTCCTCGATCCTTTCGCCGCAGACTTTTCCCTCTCTCTCTCTCTCTCTTTCTCTCACTCTCGCACTCACTCTCTCGGGTCGAGTCGTTGTTTTGCTATTGTTCTCGAGAGCTACTCAATTCACGAGGATTGGCTGACTATATTCCCTCACATGCGCTTTTCCCTTGCCGATCACTATCGGCTTAACTCGTACAACCATGTTTGAGCTCTCGAGCGCATTATGTTTCTAAATAAATTGCGGATAAAGTTCAGCATCGAATCATGACGTACATCAGTGAATTGTGTTGAAGAAGAGTAAATAGTACTTTCAATATGTCCAGAAATTACAATTCTCCGAGCGAGAAAATTAATCTCAGCAGAATGTCGCATCATCACAATGCGAGCAAAAAAGAAGCGCAAAAGGAGAGTCTTCTTCATTTGCACCCCGACGGCACGGAGG